GGAGAATTTTCTGGCTGATTTCGAACCGAATTGTTTTGAAGAGGATCTACTGCTTCTGTTCTCTTTACTACCGGAAATTGCAAACGGCATTAGCTTGCAAATATTAAAGAATTTCGCCGAAAAAATAGCGATTTACAGCTTCAAGGAATCACAGTTGAGTGGCTTTACGGAAGGTAGGACCCCAGTCATACTACTCGTCGTTTAGAGTACAAAACCGAGTATAAAAAAATACCAAGCCGCTAATCAAGATAATGCAAAATCGCGTATGTGAAATTGCATAAATTATTTTCTAGAGAGTAAAAACACTCATATTTCAAAGCGCTCTCTTATGTATAAAGCAATCGCATTTCTGGCTATTATATTTCAGGACGAATGGATAAGGATTAAGCCAAGAGCTTGTGTGAGCAAATCCAGTTTTTGGCATCAAATGTCAGTTACGTGGTTTTGCAGCAGAATGACGATACGCGGTTTTGTACTTTAAACCACGATATGTACATAAATAAGTATTTATACATTCGAAATTTAATTTTTTTTTTTTTTTAATTTTTTCGCCTTGTTTCAAATCTTCATTGTTCTCCGGCGAAAAAAAAAAATTAAAAATGTTTTTATTTTTACAGGATGCCTCTTTGAAAAGTTCATAGACAGTGTGAAGTACATATTTCTAGGAAAATGTGACATTCCAGAAGTTCTTGATATTTTTACGTTGATTGTTGAGCGTTATATGGATTCCATGGATTTGGATTCGAGAGTGCGTAGTACTTTTCTTCACGCAATTATGTTACTCATATCTTATCTTTTATTTTCAGCTCTTCGAGCGTTACACAGAGGTTGTCTCCGTTCTGCATCCCAATTCCATTGATGGTCTCACATCGCCCGCCAATTGGTGGGAAACCCCCATAGGTAAACTGAAAAAGGCCACCATCATACGCTGCTACCTGGTGCTGTATAACACGCAGCTGCCTAACCCACTAAAATGGCTTACACCAATTATCGATGCGTATGCCAACCGGCGTGAGGAGCAGCCATTCTTCTTCCGCCACCTTGTTGCCACTTTATATGCCTTTAATAACGATGAACAGTCGTGCAACTGGATCATGGAAATGTTTCTTCAAATACAGGCGCTCTTAGCGGAGTCGTCCAACAAAGAAAAATTAGATAAAGTTTTATATCTTTTAGATATTTTCATTTTAGCTGTGGTTGTGCTTTCCGGCTGTGCAGTGCTGTTGTGCAATTTGGATGCTGTGGCAACACAACGTAAAGATCGCTTTGCGCTTTTCCCGGAGAGTATGCAGTTTCTGTGTGATCACGTATTTTGGAAGGATCAGGAGGCGAAGGTTTGATTTTTTACAGTTGTATATTCATTTTTTAGTATCATATATTTTTTTTTTTAGATATACGAGTTCTTGTTTAACTTGTATAAGAACAACGCCATTCCGGAAACATATGCCACCACCTTCAAGGATGCTATTATATGTTCTCGCAATAAATCTTACTTTGACAACAAAGGCATCTGGACGAAATATGTTGGCTTGAGAAAATGACTCTTTGAATTTTGTACCTACCGAAAAATGTATGTCACTGGTGTATAGAAAATGGGTTCAATTCGTTTGCATTTTGTTTGATGCTTTTTCCTATACACCAAGCAAATTCAAGCTATAGTTAATATTGAAAAATATCGCAATTTTTTTAATAATAGCATGTGCAAAGATTTTATTACAATTTTTGTCAAGTCGGAGGATGAAAATGCTTCTGATTACTTCCTTGAAACTATTTTATATACATATTAGGTAATAGTATAACTTTAGCATGCTTGTCTCTAATTTAATATATTTAAACTAAACTGGTCCTAATAGACATTTACAATGGAGATAATTACAATAAACAAGTTTTTAGACACTGGCTCACTTATTTTGACATTGCAATAAAAATAAAAGAAGTTAAAACGTTTCCGTTTTTTATTATTATATACATTTATATGTATATTTAAAAACAATTATGGATTATATAAAGAAACAATTTTCCTACCTGAGTTAAACCGTTTATGTAATTACTCGTAAACACTCGAATTCATGACCAAACTTTCATAGTTGAAATCAAATCTAGCTATACGTTTACGGGTTAACAAAATTGCTTTCAATTTGCACATTAAATGCCAATTTGTGAACGTGTAAGCCTCGCGTAATGGCAATCCATTTCGACCTTGTTATCTATCTGTCAATATTGTTTGTTATCAGTATTCGTGTATTTTTGACGTTTGCAATGTCATCAGTTTTGTTGTCTTTTCGTTATTCGCCTTTTAATGTTTCACGGGCTGAAAATTTGTCGTCCCTTCCTCGAAAAGGAGTTTTCCCTGTTCAAAGTTAAAATATAAACCAATTTACATATATTAATTTTAATTAAATCTAAATAGACGATGCTTGTTAACTAAACCGCAAATAATTATAAAGTGAATATTTCTGCTTTTGTACGAGACAAAAGACGTTTCAAGTGAAAGTTTGCTGGTGGAAAAAATTGTGCATACAACTTGAACAGCGCATACTTTTGTACAACGGCTTGGCAAAAATCGAACGATTCAAGGAACATGGACGACATCAAATTGGCCAAGGTAAGCTTAATTTTTTGATATTTCAAGTTTAGGTTAAAGGACGCTGAATGCTATTTTTTTAAACAGATATAACCGTATATAAATCTGTTCAAGTACATATATTCTGAAAACTGCCGCTCCCTTTGCTCTTATAGCCCTCTTAAACTATTTCGTCCTGTGACCTGCCGGGGCTGGTTGAGTCACCATTTTCAATGCATGTACATATATTATTACTTATAATCTTATATGAGATTACTAAATTAGTAAATATTTATTTTGAGACGCCTACCAAAACTTTAAATTGTTTGGCCAATCATTATCTACAGGTGTTACATTAGCAAGATGCCGAACAAGCAAGTGAATCCGAATGCTCAATTTAAAGAGTAAAATCGATACCGGGCGCGCAATATAACTAAAGAGGCTGGATGGTATTAAGTCGTACATCCAAATATGTATGTACATAGATGTATGTATTTAGTTATATAAAGTCAGCCAGTTCTTGGACAGAAATATATGTATATGTATATATATATTTTTTTTCAATCCGGTTGCTTAGATCAGCCTGTCGTATGTTTGCCTCAATGTCGATAAATCTGGCTATTGCAATAGATATCTCAAAGGATATATAACTACGCATATATGTATGTATGTATAAATGGTACATTCAAACATACATATGTCTACAAATGCAGGAACTAGAGGTTTTCGGTCGATTGGTGCTGTTCTTGTGAAGCACTAAACTAAGCGCGAATGTGAATGAGAAGTGGTAACCATCTTAATACACCCCGAAAAACAAATTACTTGGGAACAGTCTTCTACAACAAAAAAATTATAATAATTACATTAATGGATAGCCAACCCGTTATAGTAATTTTTTCACTAAAAATTCTTGGGATATAAACGGGTTTTTTTTCAAAAATTTTATAGTGTGACAAAATATCTTTTTATCATTGCATGAAATCTTCCTACAGTGTACAAATGACGTAATCAAAATTTTTAGAAAATTGAAATTGGTGACGGAATACACCTTGAACAACGAAGTCGGTTCGGATACTTATTGCTGTATTCATCAAATATATATGACAACTGAAACAAAAAAACCTTTTGGCGGTAAACTTTTTAAATTTATTTGGGGGAAAGAGGTTTCCCTTTGCTGGGGCGTATTTATTTTTTTTATATCTCAAATACTAATATAGTTACAGAAATTGTTCTGGTATAATTTTAAAAGTGATATTTAGGACTAAAAAACGTGTTTTTAAAATTCGAAAAAAGCAATTTACACAAACAAGTTTATGTTAAACAAATTTAATTTATACTTACTTTTACTATGGAATTTGGATAATTTTTTTCAGGGTTCAAAAGTTGATATCTTAAAACAACAACCTTGAAAATTTCAGTACTTTTAAGATCAGAGGTATTGTATGCAAGCTTTTGATTTAACGATTTTTCAAATTTCAAAATTCTTTAATTTTTTAATTTTCGTTTAAAGTACAAAACCTCTTGGCTAAATCCTTATCCATTCGTCCTGAAATATACCAGCCAAAAGCGCGATTGCTCTATAAAAAAGATAACCATTTTGAAATGTGACTGTTTTTACTCTAGAAAATTATTTATGCAACCTCACATACGCGGTTTTGCATTTTGTTGGTACGCGGTTTTGTACTTTAAACGACGATATATTTTTATATACCCTCAAATGTTATTGACATTTTGTAACTATAACAATTTATGAGATATTCAAAAAATAAACTGCTAAATCCGGTAAATTTTGAGCTTTCGAGAAAAAAATTTCTTGACGGAACTTTGTTATATGATAAAAGAAAAGTTCTGACCAAAATTCATCCTATCCAAAAATGGTCGATTCCAGCCTTGGTCCATTTGACATCGACTGACCCTTATACATATACCTACGAAATATCCTGATTACCATAATTTTTAATGTTCTTACTATTATTACTTAATTTTTGTTAATAGTTACACAGATTTAAAATTCAAAATAGTAAAAAATAAATAGGCCTTAAATTGTTCTTGCTCCATTGCGCATGCCTACAAATTTGCGAATGCTATTGCTCAGCTTTTCCTAGATGTGCAGAAAATCAGTGTCAGTTTTGTGTTTGTTAAAATCAAGCATTAAGTACTTGTTTTATAAATAAAGCAGACGTATTTGAAGCAATTCAAAATTTATCTTCTTCATATTATTGCCTTAACGGTCAATAGCCTCTAACAGTTGCATCAATGAAGCGTAGGTAATTCGCCGAATAAACTTTCAGCCAAATTCCAGTACATACAAGAATTTCCTCCGACTGGAATTTTCCAACTGCTCAATAAATTTGGCGCCGAGACCAATTGTAGATCTCTCGCTTTTCTTTGCTGAGTTGTTTTTGAGTATAAGTTTATCGCTACAAGATGACACAACAATTGTCGGAGGTTCGTGCGTGGTTTTTCTAAATAAAATCCATCTTCACCTCTGGTGATTGTTAACCAACCGCCTTATCACCCCGATTTCGCGTGTTCCCACCTACGCGGTAGCTACGCAGTGCTTAAAAATTTGTGAAAGTGAAAGTATTTGTGTGAATCGATATAAAATGTTAAAATACTTTCTCTTATTAATACGCTAACAATCTCCACCCCGTGCTATTGCCCTCAGTCAGTCGTGCGCTAAGTGTTGTAGCTACATACAATCGCACTTGTGTGTCGGTTAGTGTATTAGGTTTTCGGCTTTAACTCCTTTCTATGCATATTAAAATATTTATTGATTAAATAAACTACAGGCGACTGTGACAGTGAGCAACGTAAATTGGCACAAACAAAATTTTGGCCTTCCTCAATTCATCTGCACTTAATACATTAACTGTGGACGTTATGGATTTCAATAAATTCATGAATAAGTTTAATGAAATTGAACGCTCGCTTTCGCCTACATCATCGCTACGTCTAAGCTTTGACAATATTTCACCGGAGAGTGATGAACCTGAGGCTAATAAACGCCTCTGGGGTGTGCCTGTACCACCTTTTGTATCCGACAAAGTCGTTTCGTGGATTGAAGAGGAATTTAATGAGCCGCCAATTTATTATAATGGAAATGCAGTAATACGGAAGGTTTGTACAAAATATTTCAATAAAAATTGCAACAGCCTTTAAAGTGCAATTTTCGAAATGTTACAATAATTGATAAGTTACTTGTTAACTATATCGTTACCTAAATATAGAAGGGCCCTATCTCACATCGTCGCTGAAATACAAACAGCCGCAACTAACTAAAAATCCAAAATAAACCTTTTCATTGATTATGATGCATTTTATCGCATTATAAGTCCCCACATCGTTTTATGCAATAAAAAGTTTTAGTTACGCCTTTTTGCATTTGAGCGACGATGTGAGATAGGGCATTGTATGTATATTAAGGTAACGATTTACAGCTTATGTATATTAGAAAAATATAGTATGCATTTCCCGGCATTTTTACTCGTTTTTGATTTCATTACGAATACAATTATCTTATAAATGCATTTCCATAATACAGTGCTACTAAAAAAAAATCGGAATACACCCGAAGCATAACGTGTGCAGGTAAGGTCGGATACAGCATTAAAGTAGGTTTCTTATGGTCTCTGAACCCTCAGACGAACTTCAGAAGGACCTTTGCAGGAGCTCTTTTAAAGCTGCTTTTTTATTTCTTAAATATTATATTTCTTTAAAGTATTTATTTAAGGTTCATACGTTTTATTGCAACTTAAAATGCATATTGAAACTCATTTGTAATGCTAGATAATAGAAACTTATACATTCGCGTAAATTGTAAATAGAAAGAGCCTTTCTAGAAGGCATACAAGGAAGCAGTTTTTCAGCCCTTGGGTAAGCTCATTAGAATGCCTTCACTTAAGAAGGCCCACCTAAATTATCTCCTGGGTTGATGCATTCCTCTATACATTACTTGATTTTTTCTTATTCGATTTTAAAACACAAATATGTTTTGGAAAGAGATTTTATATACCTTTAAAGTGATATTTTCCTCAGAATCATGTTCTAAAGTTTCGATTTGACGCCAAAATAAGTCTCAGAAAATATGTTAATATTAAGAATGTCCGCTTCGCACTTTTTGATTTGCCATAAGAATTACACAGGAAATTTTGTTTTTTTTTTTTTACTTCTGATTTTTATATTTAACGAACAATACATTGTACTGTAAAGGTCTTGGAGTATTTTTAAAGAGAATTAAACGCTCTACAAAAAAGGTCCTCGAATAACTTTTGACCGACCACGATCTTTACACGACCTTCCGTCGTATCGTTCGTTAAATATAAAAATCAGAAGTAAAAAAAAAAAAAACAATTTTTCCTGTGTTAATCTTATGGGAAATCGAAGTGTTTCTTTTACTTCTGATGTTTATATTTAACGAACGATACGTTATACTGTAAAGGTTTTGGATTATTTTTGGAGAGAATTAAACGCTCTACAAAAAAGGTCTGAAGTCATTTTTCCACCTTTTTTGTATAGCGTTCAATTCTCGAAAGAAATAATCCAAGACCTTTACACCGAACAAAGGGATACCCCCTTTATTGAAATATTTCGTACGAAAAAAAAAATTTTTGTTTAATGAAAAAAATTTAGCGACAATAAGAAGCCTATTTTCATGTTGTATTACTTATGTTTCGGATGTATGTATTTTCACTGCCGCACCCTGTAATCATCGGTACAGTTGCTCACTTCGATATCGCTTTATTTTAACCCTGGAAATTGAAAATTTCCGGGGAATATGTTTCAACCTTCTGCTGACCCTAAAAACTTAGATGATTAAAACTATCAGCAAAAACAACTTGTTTTGAAAGCATCAAAGAGTTAAATTTGAAAGTAATGTCGAACCTATTTCGTTATATCTGCGGCATATTTTTGCCTCCTTGTCCTCGTGCAGCTCACGCATTTCATAATATTTTAATTATTTCAGTAGAATTATTTTCAAGAAAATGTAACCCTTTAACCCCAAGGGTGTCCTAGACCACGCTTCCACCTCCTATAAACTGGAGGGAAATTTTGTTTTGAAAATTACAAAAATATCAATTACCAAGTCGAGGGTGCTCTATGTCCATTCCAGAAAAAAGTTTCCTACAAAATGTATTTATTTTAAGCGCAGAATCCGAATCTGTGGTAAAAAAAATACATATCGAAACCGGAAGTCGGTAATAATTCTGTGCCTATTTGGTCACCGCGGACTAGCAGGACGCAGTGGACGAAGCTACATACTTGTCAGAACGCCGCACTCCGTTCAGCGACAGGATGTCTTCTGATGTCGCCTGAGCGACACCTATACAGTGAGCTCAAATGTTTCCCGTAAGGTAGCATGACAAATGCTCAGCAAGCAATTTCTGGTCGGATGCCACAGGCATGAGCACCCCAACAGACCCGTGCTTGATGTAGACCCTCCGGCCAGGCATGTTAAAAGGCATCTTTTCGAGTACTTCTCCAGTACTTGGACGCGGTCCAGACATACATCGTCCAAACACTGGACCCGAAGACGTACCGACGACTGATCAATGGCATGCATACCATGAACGCTGTGATCGGATCCGAATCACAGACTCGGGGCTTCGACTACCACGAGAGACCACCACTACTCTGGCCCAGTTACGGTCAGGATATTGTAGCCATCTTGACTCCGTCCAGACTCGATACCGATATTCCCAATGACTGTCTGGCATGTGGAGAGGAAACTCCCCCACGACACTAACCACCTGTTCAAATGTCAGCTCAATCCCTCCCATAAAACACCCCTCTTCCTTTGGACCGACGCCGTCGAAACAGCTCGTTATTTATCTTGATTCCGGGTATGCTGTTTCTTCTTTCCTTAAAAAAATTAACCTTTTATGGGTCGTTTTGTCCCATATTTAAAAGGGTGACCGTAAGTGTTAAAATTTTGTGAAAAAGATCATCGAATAAACTAAAATTCAATATGTATGTATTTATAACGACACTATTACATAATTTACTTTGTTTCAAATGGTTTGGCGGTGTAATGTAAGTCATTAATAGTCTTTTGCATTGTTAATAGCGATATGTGCATAAATATATAGTACTATAAAGCAATTTATGGCTCAAATGCAATAATAGTACTGATATAGCATTATCTCTCGTAAATGTAATAAACAATTTACATTATCAGTATCAGGTGAATCAAATAGTTTTATTAATCCTATAGTTCAATATGCTATCAACTAGCAAATAATGCATTTTCTGTTATTCCCCAAATGGGAATTCAAATTTCATAGCTTTTCATGCCGCTGATCGCTATCAAACTTTCACATTTCGTTGAACATTCTGTTATCAATTTTGTGTGCATAACTCAGTGTTTGTCAATGTGTACATGCACACATTTGCCTCTTTCTCTAAGTACTTCTCCAATCGCTTTGTCAGCTTCATTTAAAATTGATTTCTACACAAACAAGATGACAAATTGCTTATTCTCACAAGCTATTATAAGCAAAAGCACAAAGCTACTTCAATGACGAAATTGGAGGGGACTATCAATGAACCCATTTATCGATCAAATCTTTTACTAGTTAATAAGAAATGAAGGCAAGATATTTTAAGTTACCTCATAGTCGAAATAAACTTTTTAACTAATATTACTAACAAATATCGGAACAGGGTCTACCATCGTCTCCTCTCATACTTTCTGACTAACTACTATATGAAGGGATGCAACATCGTTCATAAAATCGTCGATATTGGTGATACCGATATTAACCAAAAAAATATCGGCTGATCGATATATCGACGGGAAAATATCGATACTATATCGATATTGAATATCGGTTTAAGATTTTTTTATAGGTTTTTTTCATTTACATAAATCTGTCACTAGACACGAATAAAGGGGTGTCATCGTTTTGACGGCGAAAGAGGACGCATTGACGAAAAAAGACGCGTAAAAGAACTTCGGCGAAAAACGACGCGTAAACCTAGTTGATGGCGAAGAAAGACTCGTAAACATAAATTTATACCTAGCCAAGGACCGTCACTTCAACATTATTCCCCAAAACTCGGTTACTCGCGGCTAACGCGTTTTTCTTCGCCGTCGTCTAGGTTTAGACGTAATTCTACGCTGAAGTTTATTTATGCGTCTTTTTACGCACAAACAGAAAGTCCGTCCAAATATAAATATCGTAGTATCGAGAAAAAAAATATCATCGATGTCTATATATCGGTTTTCAAAACATCCCGATAAAAATATCAATATCGACCAATAAATCATCGATATAGCTAATATCGATATAGCATTTGCATCCCTAACTATATGGCAACAAAATAAATATATATAATGGTCCAAATTCCTAGGTTAGGTTGGGTTAGAAAGACGTCGAAAACCTCTGCGCCCAGATATCCATATTTTTTATTATTATATACACTAACTAAAAATCTTCTGTTATAATTGCTTTTATATTAATTGCAATCCTGTATGATCTACAAGCAGTTATACATATACATAGTTTAATAGCCAGTGAACAGCAGACTGCATGAAATTTACCAAAGCTCAAATTCTGTTCATTCGAGCCTTAATACCTCCTCTACTTGGAAGGGAGACTAACTAAGCCCGGCAACGGTCCATACGGCGTCACGCAGGTCGCAAAGGTAGACAATTTAGTCCAATTTCGAAAATATTTTCATAAGTCTGCCATTTAAGAATTTTGACATTTAATGTTATTCTTATTCGAAAATAATAATGGCAGACAATTATGGCGGTTTTGAGATCATGGCAGACACTTTTGAAAATGTCATAAAAATAAAAAATTCAAAAGTATTTTAACAAATCTGAAATTTTAATAATTTACTAATTATACACTGAGAGAAAAATCAACCAAAAATTTGTTAATATTGCCAAATATTACGGCATTCGTAATATCATCCTGGCAGACAGCGGTACCTAACCTATAGTCCGAGCACACGGTACACATTGTATAATGTACAGATACGATAGAAAAAACTTCGCAAATTTTAAAGCTTACTTCAAAAAGATTTTGGTCCTTGGCGAGTTCTAAAAACACCCAAAATCTTAGTGGACTCAATTTATACTCCATTAAATACGACTGTACCCTTCATAAAATATTCATGCTAATAGATAACTCATACGCCATGACATCCCTTAAAGTACCTCATAAGTCTCTCGGATGTCATGGCGTATGAGTTACCTATTAACATTAACATGAATATTTTACTACTCAAAACTATTTTTCCAACCATGTATCACACTTTTGAACCGAGTAATAGATAAAACAGTTAAGAATAAAACTTGATTTGGACTCACCAAGATTTTGGGTGTTTTTAGGACTCGCCAAAGACGAAAATTTTTATGGCCGTGAAAGCCTTTTGAAGTAAGCTTTAAAAGTTGCAATGTGTACGTGTGTTCGGGCTATAGGTTAAGTATCGCTGTCTGCTGGGTTGTATTATTATTATGATAAATAAATACAGCCTTCTAATACTATCTATAATAAGTAAAATATTAAAATTTCAAAGTTGTTAAAATACTTTTGAATTTTTAATTTTTTTTTTTGACATTTTCAAAAATGCCTGCCATGATCTCAAAAACGCCATAATTGTCTGCCATTATTATTTTCGAATAATAAGGTTTGTTCCACAAGCTACTTGTAGAAAAACCCGAGCAAAGTTCAAACTATTAGCGTATATCAAATAAACTCTAAAACTTACTTGTGGAACGCGTATGTCTAACTCGAAGTGACTTCGAGTAGCTTGTGGAACAAACCTATAATAACATTGAATGTCAAAATACTTAAATGCCAAACTTATTAAAATACTTTCGAAGTTGGTGTAAATTTTCTCCCTTTGCGACCTGCGTGACGCCGTATGGACAGTTTCCGGGCTTAGTTAGTCTCCCTTCCAAGTAGGGGTGGTATTAAGGCTCGACTGAACGAAATTCGAGGTTTGGTAAATTACATGCAGTCTGCTGTTCACTGGCTCTTAGATTAATACATATGTACATATGTATTTCCGGATCTAATTTTTTAGTTAGCTCACTTTATGTCGTAAGTCTACGATATGTAAATATTATTCGATCTAAGCATATTTTAAATTATGATTTTTTTTTCATATTTTGCAGGTTGAAAATGTACGCATGATTGATCGATACAATGCTAAGAATCCCACAGTCGGTACGCTATATCTAACTGCAACACATTTGATTTTTGTGGAACCGGATAGCAACAAAGAGACATGGGTATGTACATACATATGCATCTAATGATGTGGTTTAAAAAGACAACTAGCTTTTGCCGCTCGTTTGGTACATGGTTGAACGTTATGCTGTCAAATGTTACAGCTGCACTATACAGCTGCTATGGAGTTATCTCGATCAGATGGCAATCTTAATCGGGCCAGCCTTTTTAATTGTTTTTCCTAGAAATTCTGGATACAAATTATACGTGTGTTCGTTTGAAAGTCGAGCAAGAATTATGCAGCGACGATATTCCTTGAAGTTTTGAAGTATTCTCTCTCAATGAGAAATGCTAGCAAATTTTGCAATGCAAAATATTCACATATGAACAATTTTTTTATCGATTTGCTGAGATCCCTTTCAAGCCTATATTGTACCCTCAAGCGTTGCACGCAGGACTCTGGCTCCGCGCGAGATGTGTTCTTAACCGAAATCTCAGAGTTTTTCGCCGGAACACCATCGACTAACGAAAAACGGGATTTGACACCACCCTTACTGTGAAGTTAATACATAAAAATAGTCATTAAGTTCATTTCCACTTGGCATTTTTTAACGGGCACCAATATTTAGTAGAAATTCGGCATAAGAAGTGTTTCTTTATAAATGATGAAATCGAGTATAGTTTTTCAATGGTTTTTTAAAAGATTTTCTTATAAATAAAATCAATAAGAATTTTGACATAAAATCAATAAGGAATCTCTATGGAATTTTCTTCGTGTTAACGTTCGTTTTACCCTTTAACCTATAAATTTTTGATTACCAAATGTACAGTAAAGAAACATGTCTCCTTCGAATTGCTGCTTTGGTGATTTCATTGCACTTTTTACGAATAAAAACATTTAAGATTACAAGTTTAAAACTATAGAAAAATTTTAAATCGATCCAAGCGTGTATACATATGTATGTACAAATAGCTACTGAGTGTGTACAAAAGCGCGGCGACTGCTGTACAGTTCATACTGCCCTTGACGCCACAAAACTCAAGTGTACTTCAAACCGCACAAGAATACTAAAAGAATCAAATTGTGGTCACGAAAAGACGAAAAATCTACGTGCATCAACATTTGGGTGATCCAAAAATGCATGTGGAGAAGTAAAGTGGGAATTTTTATGCTCTCACCCACTAGGATAGGTCGCTCAAAGCGCTCAAAGTTTTCCATGTATTTTATATGGGAAAAAAATCGTAATGGTATAGAATTCTTGAAAATCAATATTTTTCGATCGGAAAGTTGTTTCTCTTCAGGAGGTTCCCAATAATAATACCCAAGTATTTATTTAACAATTTTTTATAGTAACTATATTTTATAGGTCCCCCAAAACCCTCAGAAAATGCCAGAAAATGTAATGGGGTATAGATAAAAAATCTTTAGTCTTATAAAATGGTTAAATAAACAATGGGGTATTGTTACTGGAAGTCTCCTGAAGAGAACCAGAGTTTTCCGATCGAAAAATATTGATTTTCAAGTAATCCATACCATCTCTACAAAATTTTTTTCCATATGAAATCCATGGAAAACCTTTAGAACTTTGAGCGATTATTCGATTTTAAAATAAACAAATGGGGGTTTATTTTTACGATATAGAACTATCCTTAGGGCATTAAAATTCCGACTTTACTTATTTTCGACCACCCTAATAGACATATATGTACATACTTATATACATTTTCGTACTTACATACATACATATAAAATGTTGAATGACGCGTCGGCGTCTGTCAGCTGCATCATAGCCATTTCTATTGAGTTCACATGCGAGCACAACAAGTTCAGTCAACAATTCGTTTTTCCGCTTAATGTTTTTTTTTTTTTGTTTCTTTTTCGTTGAAACTATGCATTTCGAAACTGGGCTTTCTTATTACAACTTTGGTGCGGCAGCAATTTCATCAACGTGTATGGGGAAGTGTTGCCAAGTAGGTCACTAGCAGCTGCATTGCAGGATCAAAGTGTTTTAAAGTGGCTACACAGGAAGCTTAGGGAATCATTGCAAATGAGCACTGAGGGCGGAAGTGCTTTTTACTTACTCGTACTTTTCTGTTAACAAAAAAAAAGAGATTTACAACTTTTGGCCACTTCACGGCACTTGTGACCTCAGATTTAGTTCGTGACATTGCGGTTTTGAAAGTGTTTTCAATTCTATTAGATTTGAATTTTAGCAAAGTGGTTGCGCAGGATGCTTCAGTTGCTTGGAATGTTTAGTAGTTGCTCGAAATTAAGCACTCGTCGTTCTATTTACCGATTTCAGGAAGCTACCAAAGAACGTAGATAAATTCATTTTGTCATAAAAACGTGTAAAAATTACAAAATCGGATAACGGATAGACGCGCCTCAAAGGCCCTAAAATTTAGCAAATTCATGGAATTTTTCACAAAGTGGTCAAAATTGCCTATAAAACAGTGGGAAATTTATATACATATATTTTAATGGCACCGATGTCAAAAATGGCTACACTATTTTTAAACCTCCCCAACTTTTAAACTTATTGGGGTTTCTCTCGCGTAAAATTGAAATTTTTTTTGGTTTTGGGAAGTTAATTTGTAGCCCAGTAAACTTAGATCAAATTGGCACGAAGAAAAAAAAATTGTAGTAGTGAAATTTTTATGCAGTTTACTTTTATTTGACACGTAGACCATAGAACTACAGTCTTGCTCCTAAATTTCATACTTATGGAAACATTCCGCCATCTTGGATTTTAAGTTTTTTTTTTAGTTTTTTGCCACTTGCAAGCTTATTTTGCATTTTTCGTAAAAAACGTTTACATACAAATTTGTTGAGAATTTAATTTTCCGCATTTTCTATAGATGAACTTAAAAAAGTAATAATATTTTTTTATTGTAAATAATTAGCAAAAAGTGCGAAAAATTTTAATATTTCACTTTACGTGCAAATTGCTAACAATGCTAAAATGCATGTACATGTCGTCAATAAAAAAAAATCTCTCTAATAAGTAGTACATATTGCCTAACGATGATCATTATCGTTGATAAGCAAATTATAATTTTAAAACACAAATTTAATTTTTTCTTGACTTTAACAGGTATATTCTGCGCTGTAGAGGGCTGCATGCATTCATTCAAACTTCTAGCCAAACAGAGTACATTAGATTTGAATATTTTACTTCACATACAAAACACTCAGCGATTCGAATTTTGTAAGTTATGAATATAGATTTTGTTTTAAGTTTTCTACCTTCAAATGGCAGAATGTGAATGAGTGAATGGAAAACATTCAATCATCCAAACTCATTTCGGTTAAAGTTTTTTCTACAAACAAATTTGTTCGTATTGTAATAGGAGCGCAGCAAGATATACACACATACATATGTATGTTTGTACATATGTGCACAGAAACAATATTTTTGGATATACATAAAAAAATTGTCCTTTATTTCAATTCAATTTATTTTCACTTTGTTTGAATATTGTAATGTCGGCACATATATCACAACAGGTATTCACTCAAATTCAAACAAATTTGAAGCCAAACTCATTCATTCGTTTTGTATATATATGAATAATTCAAAAGCCGTTTTGAATGCATTCATGCAGCCCTCTACTGCGCTGGTCACAAAAATTTGTCATTCACAAAATATTGGGTAACGTTCAGAATAGCGCTTTAACTAGTGAACTGGCATGAATAGATTTTTAATTGCAAGTGGAATGGCACAATGCATCTTGAACGCTTGAGTAGCTTGTAATTATTGCGCTAAGTTCAAAGCAATTCGCAGCGCAAAACAAACTTGCTCGTTAAAAGATACAACATATTTGTGGACGTCATTAAATTCTGCTGCCCTGCTGCCTGTGTTTACCCCACCGCAAGCAGTGTGGCGGATACGCGTATGGCAAGTTGTGAGATGTATGAATTTATATTACGTATACGCCATGGCGCTTGCTGCCGGAGTTAATGCCATCAATTTAGTAGTTCACTTATATGTATTTGTATGTATGTACATACCCTTTAAACAATTTTCTCATTGCTCAGAATTTAAGAGTCTAAAATGACTATTTCTTTCGTCATAGATATGATCCTAAGACCAGTCAACTAGACTGACTCATTTCGGACTCTTTTGGTGTCATACATTCTGAGTTGAACAAAAGTAACAATGCTCACGTACAAGTAAAAGTTGATTAATATTCAGAATTATAAAGAATATTTGTTTTTAATACTCAGAAAGCGTCATATCTCAGACTCTTATATAACTCCTAACTTGGACTCGTATTGGCGAGCCCTTCTAAGAAGGGAAATACTGATGTATGTACATAAGGGTGGTCCAAAAAAGCATGTGGAAAAAGTAAAGTTTTCGTAGAATAGGTATAGAATTCTTGAAAATCAATATTTTTCGACCGGAAAACCCTGTTTCGCTTCAGGATTTTCAAAAATTCCATACCATTTCCACGAAAAGTTGGGTTTTTCCCATATAAAACACATGGAAAATTTTGAGCGACGTCTAAATATTTTTTAATTTCAAAATAAAAAAAATATGGGTATACTTTCTTCGATAGAGAACAATCCTTGGGGGTGAGGGAATTAAATGTCCAACAGAAATAAAAAAAGTGGAAAAATACCTTTCTACTGAGACCTTACAGGCCTAAATCAGAATAGTTTATGCCCAGTTATTCAAGTTTTTCGTAAAGCAATCTTTGAAAAAAAGTTAAAAAAAGCAGCCCCAAAAATCTCATTATTACGATTCCGTTGAACATTATTTTTTAACTTTTTTTTTAATATTTTTATGCAAATTTTTTAAGCTTTAACTGCTGTGTCATTTGACGAGATTTTTTTTTCAAAAAAATCTTTAAGACACTATTTTTATTCATAAAAAACCCCATTTTTGAAGGTATTTTCAAATCGGTCCAGCTCACGTAAATCTTAATATTTGTCCAAGGAAACACAGTACCGATTTTTTTTTTGTATGGGGAGTGACGCAATCTAATGTACATGCATACATATATTGTGCTGTAAAGAGGGTCAATTTATCGCGGGTTCTTGCCAAGTGTAGAAAATTATGCTTATGTGTATTGAAGGCGTATAATTTTATCCCCGCATTAAGTCATTGCGTAATGTTAGCGATTTGTACTTTTTGCGGTTGAGGGCCAAATTCACAGTGCGTAGTTAACCACTGACAAAAGTTTAACTATTGATTTTGATATACACAACGCTCAGTTAACAAAAGTTTAAACCAGCATGTCCCCATAGTTCAACTCGTGTGAAATTGAATTTTTTTTTGGGGAACGAATTTCAAATTTGACCAGAAAAGAATTGATATTTAGAATTTGCATATTTTCAGGCGATATGAATATGAATAGTTAACTATGTGACTCTGAATATAAATTCAAAGTTAAGCTCTTGTTGGTGGTTGAGTTAACAATCGTTTAACTAAGCACTGTAAGTCCCGCCCTGAAAGATATATGTATCTGTCGTTTAAAGTACAAAACCGCGTAACTGACATTGGCTGCCAAAAATTGGATTTGCTCACACAAGCTCGTCCTGAAATATACTAGCCAAGAATGCTATTGTTTTATAAAAAAGAGAACCATTTTGAAATATGTGTGTTTTTACGCTCTAGAAAACGATTTCTACAACTTTACATACGTGGTTTTGCATTTTGTTGATGCGCGGTTTTGCACTTTAAACGACGATATGTAGTTTTTTACTGTTATATAAAAACCGTACATATTTATAAGTGTAAGTTGTGTTTTATTCAATAAAAAATCCTTCCCATTACTTGTGGAATTGGTCTAATTTGTATTATTATTTATATGGAGCTTTTTAATAAATTTGTTTTTTTTTTATTGATTTCATTGCAGATATTACACATGCACATTGCAAATATTGAGAAATTACCATTAAGCACAACGGGTTCACCATTATTGATACGTTGCAAAACTTTCCTATCGGTCACATTTGTAATTCCAAAGGATTCTGAGTGTCATGACGTGTACACCTCTTTAATGAAGCTTTATCAACCTGGTAAGCATTGTTACAAGTTTTCACATTTTGTATTAGGGGCGTCCTTTATGATCTGAAGTTTGACTAGTTTGACTGGTACATACATATGTACATTGTTTTTATTTTCCAATAATAATATCGTAATCATTAATCCAAAAGGTCTTGTTTAACATGTTTGGGAAATGTAGGTTTTTGAAAATTCCGTTAGTTACTCTCATATACAGCCTATACCAAGGCGTACATATTGAATCGGCTGTAGCAGTAGACGAACTAATATGACTTTTTTCAAAATTTTTAGTATGTAAAATTTCAGATATTGTTAATATTTTGCACAAAAATTCTTGAACTGTAAAGATGTATTTTCATGCGAAAGCATTTTTCATAAATAGAATAGAAAGGGCGGTTTTGGAATGGTCGCTTAACTCTGCAGCACAAACGCTGATTTCTTCTGGGTTTGGCAAAGCATGGATCGATGCTTCGGACAAGAAATAAAGTGGCACAAATCTTTCGAATGTCTACCTAAGTTACTCGTCATGGCGTATGAGTTATCTCTAAACATCAATAGGTTTATTCCACTCGAGCCGGCGGGATCCCGCAGGTGTCTAAGAGGGAAACCATCGCAGGTCTGTGTAATCATGTTGCCTATGTACATGTTACATATTTGGAATTTTTAGCATTTTTCAGGAAAAAAATAATTAATTGAAAATTTTTACTTAAAAACAACATTTTTAAGGATTTGTATTTTTTTTATTTTTATTAGTAGGCAAAGGAGGCACTAGGTCGACGGGATCTGAGAAGGATGCATAGTACTCAAAATTTTTTTTTCAACGCTGTATTACACTTTTTAATCGTCTCATAAATAGAAGATTGGAAAGAAATTTCCATTTTGACTGTTTTTATAATTCACCCACAATAAAAATTTCTACTACCCCAAAGCTCTATCAAAGTAAGTTTTTTTTGGTGACCCAGTCTAATGTACATTAGCGTGTGCATTATTTAAAAGGAGACAGATTTTTTGTAAAGCAACAAAGTAAAGCTCGGTTTGTTATAAAAACGTACTCTGCGAACAATTTTCAACATCTATTTTGACTATTTTTAGAATTCACCTACGACGAAAATTTGTACTATTCCTAAGCTCTCTCAAAGTAAGCTTTTTTGGTGACCCAGTCTAATGTACATTAGCGTGTAAAGTAAAGCTTGTTTTGTTATAAAAACGTACTCTGCGAACAATTTTCATAATCGAATAACGGAAAAACTGTCCTCGGGGGCCCAATAGTCTGTAAATTGAGGCACATCTGTTCATTATCCGATTTTGCTAATTTTTTTCACAGCACGTTTTTATGACCAATGAGGCTTGTTTTGTAGGTGAAATTTTAAAAGTAAAGGCAATCTTATAAATGTCGCTGACGAATTTACAAAACCGCCCATCGACCAGTTGAAAAATCACCTATCTTATGGCAATGTAATTTTAAAGAACAAAAAAAAATGTTTTTCTTTAAGTCTGGTATTTCATCTATCATTTTTGCCACAATTGCGATTTAAGCGGTTTTGAAACTGGCTAAAGGGCGGTTTTGCAAAAGCATCGACGATTTTTCTACATATTACGTAATGCAAAACTTTTTGCGCGTCCTCCGGTAGAGTTTTATAGACACGCATTGAAAGAAACAATTAAATATTCGTATTTTTGTAAGAACATATAACTTTACCTATAGTTGGAAAATAAAGGATACTCCTAATGTCATGCAAGTAAAATCGTATTTACATAGTAACGTACATACAGCTAGTCGATTTTTCTGCTATACTAAGTATGTACTTGGGTACATTATGGTCCATTAATCTAAATGATTGCTTTTTAATTGCAGTTTCCATTAACAAGTTATACTGCTTCAACTACCAGCCAGCCAAGGATGATTTTCCAAAGTCATCGGGTTGGGATTTCTTCAAGTTGGAAAACGAATTCAAGCGTATGCGAGTAGAAAATGAGATTTGGACGTTGTGCACTTTGAATATGAGCTATGAATTATGCGACACGTATCCGCGGCAAGTTTATGTGCCACAAGAGGCAAACACAGCCATGTTGATTGGCAGTTCACGTTTTCGTTCCAAAGGTCGCCTACCAGCGCTCACGTATTTGCACTCGAATAAGGTAAGTAAATGGTATAAATGTTGTAATTAATTGACGTCGAGAGCAAAACTTCTTCACATTTTAGTAATATACACAGGCAGATGTTCTAATAGTATTCGGTGCAATCGATACTTATGTACATATGTATGTAGGTGCATAAATATGTATGCTTAAACTTCTGTTCAGTGGCCCAAATGCATGCAAAGTATAAAGTCAATAAATAAAAATAAAGCGCATGCCTAATTTAAGAGGCAGCTACTGATGGGTCAGTTAATCACATTATTCCATGTCAATTCATCTACTGTTCTGGCCGCAAGTCCATGTATATGTATGTATGTATATTATGTGCTTGCCTTCTTCTTCAGCTATCTATTCTGACAGGTCGATGAATAGCAGAATGCATTGAATACCATTGCCTCATTTTCACACAATTGTCCTGAGCGTTTCAGTATTAAAGAATAAATACGCTTTTATCTCTATGTCCTAAGAGTATTTACATACAAGTGTTGTATGTATAGGAATGCACATAACGGTGTAATGGATTATAAAATAGTAGTTTATAGTCGATAGTTTTATGCGCAGACAGGACCAGTGCGTAAGTGGGATTTCAAGGAGAAAATAACCGTTAAGCAATTATTTAAATTGTAAAGACGTTGAATCGAATTTATCTCAAAAATACAAAATAAGTGATTGGTCTCTAAAGTAGCATGCTAGGTGAAACTTTTCCAATGGTTCTATCCAACTGTCTGTTTAAAACTTAGTATCCACCTCTCAAGTAAAGCCTTAAGCCAGTACGGAGTTGCTACGCTTTCCACTACGGTTTCATACTAATTCGTGAGGAAAGGGTGCGACGGCAGCTTGTCAAATAATAAATAGATGTCAAAAAATGGCAATTTTTTCTTGACCGTTTCTTAACTTGGACGTTACACGTATCAAGAACCCATCCAACCAGCGGAGTCCGCAGGACGCCTATGGGAGGCTCCAAAACGAGTCCCCGAGTGCCTTCTCAATACATAAGAAAAATGTGTGCGTTTAGGACTCCTTAAATGAGTGATTTCGAAGTACCAGTAAGATAATCCGCAAAGACTCCGTGCGGACTCCCTTATTCGCCTATGTTTTTGTGAAAAGGACTCCTTAAATCATCCGAAGAAAACCTAGACGGAGTTTTTTGGGAGTGCTCCGATAATTGACCGAATATGAGGACTTACGGTTTCTCAATTTATAATTCAATTTATAATTTAAAAATATTCGACTTTAATTATTTATTTCAATGATCGGATCTAAACCAAATAAGTATGGGACCACCTCTGAGACACTACCTTTCCGATAGAAAAAGAATTATCGAAATCGGTTGACGTGGTCCAAAATTATGCGGTAACATACATAATGAAAAAATATATACAGTGACGAACAAAAGTATTGGCACAGTGAATTTTTCGCAATATATTCAAAGTTTTTTATTCATATTTATTTTCGGTAATTTTTTTTTTTTTAAATTGACTATCATTTTACACCAAAAAACATAAAAATAAAATCTCTAAACTTTGTGCAAAACTCAGGAAAATTCAATAAATTTGCACACTAATTTGCCACTTTTTATTCAGAACCACTCGCTCTCTTGAATTCTTTGCCGGAACTAGATATTTTCTAATAAATGCGCCTGAAAAGTTCTAAAGTTAGCCAAAAGTAATTTTTTATACGTTATTGCTATATATACAAGTTTACTCCCTGCTAGCCAAATGCGGACTCCGACGGTTGGCTGGGCAATTTCTAAAAGTGCGAGTGTATTAGTAAAGAAAAGTGTGAGTGCAGTGGACCTTGCTAGCAATTTCTTGATCCTGTAACGTCGAAGATAGAGCCTAATAAACTTGCAGGTAAGAGAGAGAGAGATAGAGAGAGCACCTTCCAGTACGGCGAAAGTGGAACCAAGGTACCCTCGCTTGCAAGCTGGTCTGCGATCTCGTTGCCTAGTATATTATTTAGCCACGGTACCCGTAGCAGTTGCTCAGCCATCCTATTGAAGTATTTCGGCCGTGAACAACAGGTTTGAAATGCAACGATATCTAGCGTTCTTAGAGAGAAATTTTTGAGGTCGCAAATTCTTTGAAAAGACTGAGTTCCTGTGGCCACTAGATATGGCACCAGTTTTTTACATAAAATACATTTATTTGTGTATTAACAATTTTTTAACATGAATGAGACACTTATACGCCATGTTGCACAAATTTCCCTTTTTGAGATTTGTCACTAGTTCGAAACATTTTTTTATAGATATTATCCCATATTTACTGGGTTTGGTATCCAATTTAGTAAGAAGTAGGAGGTTATCAATTAATTGGAATATTTTTTTTTTATGTATGAGTATGTTACACGATAATGCCCTGTATGCAGCTCTCAAGAAAACGGTCAAGAAAAATTTGCCATTATTTCGTGTGTGTGTCCAAGGAATTTTGACATTTTTGATACTTCACCTGTTGCCTCACTCTTTCCTCAAGAAATAATGGAACGGGCATATATTTCTGTTGCAAACCTGGGTTGCCTTGTGCTCTTTTTTCACAAAAAAACTTTAGAAAACTGTAGTAGAAAGCCTAGCAATTTCCTTAAGAACTGCGTACTGCCATATGCCCTGTATGCAGCTCTCAAGAAAACGGTCAAGAAAAATTTGCCATTAATTCGTGTGCGTGTCCAAGGAATTTTGACATCTGATACTTTTACACAAGAAATTTTTTTAGGCATTTCTTGTACGTCATTTTGTATGGAATTTTTGCTTCTCGTGAGAACTGCGTACAGGCCTTAACTTTGGCCCACGTGACCCGTTTTTGATAATTGTTTTTTTATCGGAAATGTGGTACCTCAAGCGTGGCCCCATACTAATTTGGTTTCGATTCGATCATTGGTTTATGAAGAAACTAACGGCATTTCTAAATGTTTATATGAGCATTGAAGTCTACTCAAGTCGTCCCTTTGGGTTGTGAACTGCTGACAAACGAAATAACAATGTTCAGCGTCTTTGATTACCGGCCCTGTACAGAAAGCGCAGTAAGGATCATCTTCATGAGTAAAGCTGAGTAAGTACGCTTTAAAGCAGCCATGTCCGGTTAGTATCTGGGTCAGGTAGAAATCAACCTCTCCTTGTCTTCTGTCAAGCCATTTACTTAAACTCGGAATAAGTCAGTATTTTCAGCGTCCGTTAGTTGAGTTTGCATTCCAAAGCGTTGTCCCGAGGACGAATCCTTGTGGCACGCCACCAGAAATATTCAGGCTCTTTGCGTAAGTCGTAAATTAGGCTAAATTGTACGACTCGACAGGAATAAGTAAGCAACGAAAATCGTCGATCCCTATGCAGTGCTGGCAAGTTTTTCCGTTTTAATGCACTAGTCAATTGGAAATTTTGGGCAATGACGTGAAATTTTCGATACGATTCGCAAAGAGGCTGATTATATTTTTTTTGACTCCGTCGTCTGTTCTATAGAAGAGTGCCCGGTCTAAGGGATAGTTGCTAATAAACGTCCGAAAGTATGTTGGAACTTTAAACTTCGATTTTTTGCCAACTTGCAGTACTAAATGCACTCTTCACTTACAGAGTAACCAGCAAGCATTACTTCTTCGATCCGCCTTTAGATCGCTTCCCGCTGGCTACTTCTACCGCCAGCTGTTTAACTAACATGACTGCTCCTGCAGTTGATCTACCCTTTCCGAAAATGTTATTTATCATATACTTTAGAAATTTTCCCGTCGTGTGAAGCATACATACATATAGGGCTTTATGCTAAAGAATCTGGTGGTTTTCCAGCCTTGGGTAGGAGGACTTAACACTGCTGCTTCCAAATATCAGGGAACACACCTTCCGCGAAGCACTCATTAAACGTGTGAGCAAATACTTCTGGACTCGCCTACGAAATAAGTTTAAGCACTCTGTTAGGAATGGAATCGGTGCCGGAAGATTTTCGGTCTCTAAAACAATCAGGAAAAAACACACATTCTTTTGGGAAAGTTTTCTCTTGTAAAAGTTGGCTTCCAGGGGAAATAGTTCGTTAACGATTTGCTCTACCTTTTCAGGACATACATGTTATGTATGTACATATATACGTGCTATGTATGTAAGTATAAGTGCGGTTAACTGCTATCACTATCATAACTTCGCTAATAACAAATTTATGAAATGCTGAAAAATCTCATTTATATAGCCTTGTAAAAAGGAAAAACAGATCCGGTGCATAAATACTCTGTAAATGTATGCATGTGTGTGTACATTTCAATTCAGGAAACTTAAGTAAATATTCATATGCGGAACTTGCTTTAATTTTTTATTTCTCTTTTCTTCCATTTTTTAATTTTTTGCATGCAGGCTTCAATTTGTCGCTGTAGTCAACCATTGTCGGGCTTCAGTGCACGCTGTTTGGAAGATGAGCAGATGCTGGAGGCGATACGCAAAACAAACCCCAACACCGACTATATGTACGTTGTGGACACTCGACCGAGGGTAAGTGAAATAGATACATGCATACATACATATGTATGTTCATTAGACCGTACCGAAAAAAAAATGTTCGCCGATGTCTGAAGTATTTTTGTGTGGGAATGTCGAAAGAAAAACTTTTTTTTGGCCGAACATATACATATGTTATAACTATAAGTTATCAGGCAATATTTTACCAATGGAGACCGCATATTGCTCTTGGCCAGCAGTATTTATCAGAGCTTTTATCTTGACAAATATTGCCAGCAATTTTGTACTTTGACAGCTACATGGCGGCGAATTTATTGACATTGTAATATAAAAACAAAAAATGGGCTGTTATCTATTAAAATATTTGTTATTATGTACTTGGATTTGAAATAAAAAATAATATCAGTGAATGAAAGCTGACCAAAAATCATTAAACTTTTGCTAAGGAAATATTTCGATTATTCCAATAGAACTACATATGTATTTAAAAACAAAAATTTTTAGCCTGTGTCACCGAAAAATGCAAAAAGGCGACAACACTTACGTTCGGCAAAAAAAAAATCGAAATTGCCAGTGCACTTTAGACTCTGGGGTGTAGGACGAACTTTTTTCTTAGCTTTTAATGTGATCCCGTCTAATGTATGTAAATGCATATTTGTCTATGCACTTATGTATGAATGTGTTAAATTTGCTCAACTTATTTCAACAAGCAATGCACAAGTGCAGACATGCGGCATCTCTGGGCATACCGCAGCAATGGTTGTGTTGCAAGTGTGCCCTGCGGAGTATGCACCCACTTAAAACTTTTATGTGTCGACAAATAGGCAGCAAATGTACATACATATTATTTTATTTTAATCTTTGTTTTATTTGAGAAAATAGTTAAAGTAGAGAGGTCGGGTTTACAAATAATCGCATTGTATGAAAAGCCTAATAGAATGATAATTTCACACAAGGAGTTAAAAATATGTTGTATTTTTCTTTTTTGGGAAAAGAATTTTCAATTTTTACATAACCTCTGTTTAACAATAAACGCGTTTTATGAGACTTCAGTATGATTTTTTTTTTCTACCTAGACTACCTTTCAGTCGCTTTTTTCTTGCAGGCGAGGGGAAACATTTTTGAATTAGAATTCAAATTCCCGAAATATCACAATACTCATGGACTTACAGTTATATATCGTCCCGTTTCTGCCTTAACCACGTATCTACAATTTTTGGGAAAACTAATATTACCACTTTTAACAGCTGTTTAAGCGTCACCCTTTTTGAAAATAGAACAAAGACTTAATGAGGGTTCTCACTACTGTTAGTGGAACCAGAAATATTAAGTAAAATATGCGTTTATTATATCCTAGGGGAAGAAATTAAGCATTTTTTCTTACACTCTCTAAAATACTTCTATTGCAGATACGAGGTTAAGACAGATGTACTATTTCCTAATATTTATTTTTGAAAAAAAAAAATTACATTTAATTACATTTCCCTCGAATAGATTAATGCCATGGCCAATCGCGCCGCAGGTAAAGGCTACGAGAATGAAGCTTTTTATGAGAACATCAAATTCCATTTTCTGGGTATTGAAAATATACACGTGCAGCGTACCAGTTTGCAAAAATTAATTGAAGCTTGCGAACAAAAGACACCTACAATGAGTGGCTTCCTGAATGCGTTGGAGTCATCAGGCTGGTTAAAAAATATTCGTTCCATTTTGGATACTTCAAGGTAATTATGTATATGTATTATAGAGTTTTAAAAATGGGGAATTTGCTTCTTCAAAATAAATGGAACTAGTGACAAAGACCAAATTTGTTCGATGGTAGTTAAACATTATTTGTTTCAATGCGTTAAATCAAGTGGAAATTTTATATAGCCCTTTTCTTCTGTTTCTGTCAATTCCGTAGTCCGGTTTTCCAAGTCGATATTATTATTCATTTTATTTAATTTTGATTTTTTTTTAATTTACTTTTCTTTTATCTATTAGTTTTTATTGTTTTACAAAGAAAAACATAAAGCATAACGCTAAGACCTTCTCATTAGCACATCTCTCAATTAGTCTTTTGACGGAGCTTCCTATATAGTTGCCTGAATTGACAATTGTCTTACGAAAGAGTTTTGTCGTGATGACAACTTTTACAGTATGTTTATGCTATAGTTGTCGTTCAATCACATTTCTTTGATGAATCAATAAACTTAAATACTCCCTTCTCCTCTTTCGTATTTTACTATATCTAGCTTTATTGCAAGCGCTGTTGACAAAGGTGTCTCGGTAGTGGTGCACTGCTCGGATGGTTGGGATCGGACAGCACAAGTTTGCTCATTGGCTGCTTTAATGTTGGATCCCTACTACAGAACGATCAAAGGATTTCAGGTAAATGATAAATTTTGTATTGTACTACGTAGCGTTAACTTAATATGAAAAGGCCCTATCTCACATCGTCGCTGAAATGCAAAAAAAGTAACTAACTAAAATTTGTTATTGCATAAAATGGAGTGGGGACTTATAATTCTATGAAATACATCGATAAAACACTGTGCAACGCATTTTTTCTAACGTAAAAACAACCAACACAGGTCGATAGTACTGATCTAGAATAGCGAAACCCTAAAAGGTTTTGCAAAGTTCGCTTCCGCATTAGATTCCATGACCCTAAAATTGTTGCACAGTGTAATCAAGGTGAATTTTTGATTTTTAGTGAGTTACGTAATTCGGCAAGGATGTGAGATAGGGCCTTTCTATGTACATATATTAAGGTAACTATATACGCAAAATATACTTAAATCTTTACATCTCTCATATAGGCTTTGATTGAAAAAGACTGGCTGGCATTTGGACATAAATTCAGTGAACGCTGTGGACACGTACAAACTGATCTGCGTGAAGTCTCACCAATTTTCACACAATTCCTAGATTGCACTTGGCAGTTGATGACTCAACGCAGTGATGCTTTTGAGTTCAATGAACGTTTCCTGCTTATCCTGCACGATCACGTGCATTCATGTCAATTTGGCACCTTTGTCGGCAACTGTGAGAAGGATCGACTGGATTTAAAGCTTTCAGAGCGCACATTCTCCCTGTGGGGTTTCATGGCCAATCACTTGAATGAATATATCAATCCTTTGTATAAACCTGATGTTGATGAAACAATCAAAGCCAATTTGGCTCCACAATGCATTAAGTAAGCAACGACAGCTGGTAGCACAAGCAAATTTGCTTAAGTAATTGAATTTCATTGCAGATTTTGGCGTGGTATGTTTAGTCGTTTCGAAAGTGGCGTACATCCACGTGAACCACTTAGCGACTTACTGCTTGCGAGTAAGGATCATTGTACTTCATTAGAGGATCACGTGCAGCATTTAACAAAGGTAAAATAGAAATATGGTATGCAGTCGCTGTCATTAATGCGCTTTACTAATTTGATAATTTTTATGTCTTGCAGCGCATAGCAAGCTTCAAAAATTATATTTCCAAGTCCGCTAAGAAATTGCAGGATGCAACCGCTAAATCTTACAAAGAGCCTCCTGCAACAGCAGAGATCAATGACAACAAGTGCTTAAATTCGATTAATTGTTAATTTATAGTGCATTTACACCAAAACTTAACTCCAGTTTGTGCCTATTGGAAAAACGAGATTACAACTCGAAGGGGGTAATTTCTCATATTGAGTACAAACAAACGAAAGTAGAAAATCAAAAAGAAAGAAATATACCTTGCCGATCACTCCATGTTAACTGCAGTTAAGCTTTTGGTGGAAATACCTATTGCACACCTAACCGTGATGTAATTCGTTAATTTTTCGATTTCGCAGGTACAATTACGACAAAAAGATGAGTGAACTCTCATCTGCCGATGATGATCACCCGCTCAAGCCAGCAGAAATGTCGTTTGCAAACCTTTCGGTAACTATAGCAACAACAATTACATACTCATGTGTATAAATTATGCAATTTCTTTTATTTTTTTAAGCTGAACGAGCGCATTGATGCCACGAGCATTAAAGAGGAAATAAATTCTGTAGCTGTTGACTGGAAATCGATGCGTAACGTGACAGCTTGTTCCTGCTCAACACCATTCGACCAATTCAGCAAGAAGGTGAGTTAAACTAGTCAAAATTGCTATGCTATAAGCTGACTTATGTATACTCAATAAAATTTTCGCAATGTAAATTTTTCAAGAAAGTGATCTACAGGGGCTGATTAATCATTTTAAAAGGTCAGATTTTAAAAAGAAATATCTCCTCGCGCGCAGGTCACCAAGGATCTTGACACGACGGATCTTTATATCCGATTGATAAGCAGAAAGATAGTAGAAAAATAAATTATACAAAAGGACGTTCAACATTCAGCATTGAATCGAATATTTTTGAAAATTTACAGAAAGGCTTTTGGAGATTTAGATAGCAAAGCATTTCGCTACTCAGATCCTCACTATGTAGACGTTGTTCGGACGGCAGTCCACAGTGTGGCGCTGTAACAGGTCTGTAACTTCGACCAAGGTTTAGTTAAGCGGTTCGATTTGTGTCGGGTAAGGCAGCCATAAGGACTAATATAAAGTGAAAATAGTAGGCGCGGGAAAATAGAGCATGGTCGACATTTTTGTTCTATCAAGTTTTATGCCTAGGTCTCGACACGGAATTTTTCGTAATATATGCAAAGTTTTTTATTCTAATTTCTTTTCGCAAATTTTTTATAAAAATATAGTACCTACTACAACAAAAAACATAATAATAATATCCCTAAGCTTTGTGCAAAAGTCAGGGAAATTCAAAAAATTCGCATACTAATTTGCAACCTTCCAATCAGATTTTTTAGAAAAGTTCTAAGGATGCAATTTTATAACCCATTTGTTGAGTTTTGGCAATTTTTTCACGCAGTTTCTTCCATATAAAGTATATGTCCGACAATTTTTTTAGTACCTACCGACCATAAGAAAATTTCCGAAATTTAGCTAGTTGTTGTTGTTGTAGCGGCTACAACAACCCCGCCCAGATCGGCTGATATCTCAGTCGTTGTCGACGAGTTCCACTAACGGCAGCCCCAAGAAGCGTGCAGCCTCTATGGGGTCGGTCCACAGGGACGTCGCCGTTAGGGATGCGGGGTTTTCCGGGCATGCGAAGAGATGTTTCGAGTCGTGAGGGTCTCTCCGCATGCCGGACATTCGTTCGGCACATCCGCGTTTAGCCTACTCAGGTAGGAGTTTAGCCTGCTGCAGTAGCCAGAGCGAAGTTGGGCTATTGTTGTTCTGGCCCCCCGAGGCAGATGGAGCTCGGTCGCGTCAATGTCCGGTGTTTGTGTGCCTAGAACGGCATTCACAGTTCTTGAATCTACATAACTCGAGACTGCGTCCCTGTGAATGCCGTTCAGGGCCTGTCTGTGAGCTGACGGATCTAGAGGCTGCTTAATGAACCTCTGGACTTCGTCCGTCAGTTCATATATATGCCTCCTGACGTGCCTCGGCGAGGGCTCCTCTGCAAGCAGCTGTCTATTTGGGTGGCCACATCTGTGGCTCCCAACCAGAAACTGCTTGCAGAGCATCGTGTTGTGCTCCCTAATTGGGAGCGTTTTCGCCTCATCGTGGAGGTGGTGTTCTGGTGACATCAGGAGGCATCCGGTCGCTGTCCTAAGTGCTGTGTTTTGTACCGTCTGTAGCTTCGTCCACTGCGTCCTAGTGCGTAGTTTAAAACCGGCCGGCCTATTGCCTTGTATGTTGCCAGCAACGTTTCTTTATCTTTGCCCCAAGTACTGCCGGCTAGCGACTTGAGGACTTTGTTGCGGTTCTGTACTTTATTGAAAATAGCGGTTGCGTGCGCAGAGAAGGAGAGCAGGCTGTCGAATGTTACTCCGAGTATTTTAGGATTATTCACCGTCGGAATTGGTGTGTCATCGACGTGAATTCCTTGCGGTAGCCTGTCCTCCTTCGTCCAGGTTGTGAACAGGGTCGTAGAGGATTTCGTAGGGGAGAGGGCTAGACACTTTGCAGTGAAGAAGCGAGAAAGTTCAGAGGGATATTCGTTTACTTTCGAACACAGGTCATCAATTCCATTCCCAGTCGCCATGATCGAGCAATCGTCGGCGTAAGAGACAATCAGGGTGGGCAAAAACTCGGATTCGAGCGAGCGAGCGAGCAAACTCCTACTCAATGCCTCGCAGGCAACGAGGCGCAATGAGGCGAGGCACGAGAAGTTTGGCTTGCTCGGCCATGGGGAAATTTGCGTAAACGAAGAATAGAGGCTGGTTCACATACGTTGAATTTCAAAGCAGCCGTCCACATAGCCAAAATAGCGGAATCGCTGCATCGCTCGCCAGCTGTTGCAAATAAATAAATAAAATTATATGAAATGTTTTATCCTTTCAATCAAATGAGGGCAAGAAATATAATTTTTCATGCAATTATTGATATGAAATATTAATTTATCTCTCGTTAATATGTTAATTTAGTGGCCAAAGTAGTATCTGCCAAGCTTCATTGTAGAACGCATAACGTGCGTTCTGTCAAACCAACGCCAACTACAAATTCAACGCGAAAGTTCTATGTGGACCAGCCTTAATTATCAAATACTGTTTCACACCCCAAATAGTAGTTTGTATTTTCTACATATGTACATACATATGTATGGGAACTAAACCAGGAATATTCATTTGAAAATGCTAATGTCCTACTCATTTATGAAATGAAAGACAAAGTAATTATTTTTATAAATATTATATTCTCATTTATACATATGTAACATAGTTACTTAGCCGAATTACATAGTAATTACTTGTATGTAAGAATACAAAGACAAATTATTTATCAGAAGCATTGCCCCTTACACATTGAAAAAAGGTAATATAAGCTCACAAAAAAAGCAAAATCGCTACAGCGAGAAAAGTGTTTGAAAAACCGCATAAATTCAAATCCGCATAAAAAAGAACCGCATAAAAAGAGACCTAAGTGCATAAGTTGAAATTTTATAAGAAATTATTGAACATTAAAAAAATTATACCTACCTAGATATGTATGCACATTAGACTGCATCACTCCCCATACAAAAAAAATCGATACTATTTTTCCATTGGTATTATAAAATCTATTATATTTTAAGACGTCCACCAAAATATTTCGAAAAAATATTAAGATTCAAGTGAGCTGGACCGATTTGAAAATACCTCCAGTTGTTTATGAATCAAAATAGTTTCTTAAAGATTTTATTTTAAAAAAATCCCCTCAAATGATAAAACGGCTTAAACTTAAAAAATTTTCAGAAAATTATTTTTAAAAAATTTAAAAAAAATTTTAACGGAATCGTAATGATGAGATTTTTGATTCTGTTTTTTAACTTTTTTCAAAGATTGGTATAAGAAAAACTTGAATAACTGAGCCTCAACTCTTCTGATTTAGACTTAAGAGGTGTCGGTGGAAAGGTATTTTCTCACCCTTTTTATTTCTTTGCTAATAAACTCATTCAAAGGATGAAAGAGAAAGGTAGGATGAACGAACATCATTTAATTAATTAAGAACACATCTTATTGTATTTGAAAAAAAAAAATAAAATGGGACACGAATGAATTTTTTTTTCACAGAAATAAAAACAGTGTGAAAATACCTTTCTACTGAGATCCCATAAGTCTAAATCAAAATAGTTTTGGCCCAGTTATTCAAGTTTTTCGTAAGTAAATCTTGGAAAAAAAAACAGCATCAAAAATTTCATTCTTACGATTCCGTTGAAAAGATTTTTAAATATTTGTATGCAGATTTTTTAAGCTTAATCTGTTTTGTCATCTGAGGGGACTTTTTTCAAAAATTTATTTACGAAACTATTTTTATTCATAAAAAACTCCATTTTTGGAGGTATTTTCAAATCGGTCCAGCTCACTTAAATCTTAATATTTTTCCTTAATATTTTGGTGAACGTCTTAAAATATAATAACTTTTGTAATCCCGGCGGAAAAACCGCAACTTTTTTTGGTGATGCAGTCTAATGCACATACATATGTGCCTACCTAGTAGACAAAACTAGTCAAAATAGCACGCATCTATTCTTCTGTACATGAGAATATATACATAAATAAATACAATACATATTTGTATACATGTATGTATATACATATCTGCATGTGTGCGTACAATCCTTTACTCGAAATTCTTAGTTAATGCAATTTTTATCCCATACATTTTTGCTGACCAAACAACCCGTTTGCCAGTCTAATCTGCTTGCCTCATTTGCCTCGCTCGTTTGCTCGCCTCATTTGCCTCGCACGTTTACTAGCCTCGCTTGTCTGCTGCTGCAAATGAGTGCCTCGCTCGCAACGACGACCTCGCGAGGGCAGAGCTAATGAGGCCCTCGTTTGCTTACTCGCTCGCTGGGTGCTCAGCGCGTGCGCTCGTACTTAACGAGTGCTTGTTTGCAAATAGCCTCGCTTGTTGCTCGTGAGTTGCGCAAGCTCAGAGCAAACTAACGAGCGAGCGAGGGGCTAAAATGAGGCAAATCCGAACCCTGGAGACAATCGAGACTCCCTCTGGTGGTTGAGAGAGCTTTGAAATGTAAATGTTAAACAGTAGTGGGGAAAGGACACCACCCTGTGGAACCCCCTGTTTTATTTTTCTAGCTAGTCTTTTGGATCGGTTCACCCACTTTTGCGAGGCCTGCCCGGCGACAAATCATAACAATCTCGTTGGCTCCGGCCAATAGTGGTGGCAGAGCGTTGAACCTGCGGTCGGCATATTCTGTAAAACCGTCCCTGGTGGTTTTCTAAAATGGGTGTGGTATTTGAAGAGGATGAATCCCGTGGTTGCCCCATGATGACTAAATTCCACGGCCAATGCAGTTTATCATCCTTTCGTCGATACTTTTGATTCATCCGAAACTGAACACTATTTACGCTACTTATTAACAGAAACTTGTAGATTTTTTCTAACACCGAAGATATAAATGTACAATTTTTTATGTGCATAACATTTTTTTTAATCAAAAATAATTTTTATATATTTCTCAGACACATTGCTGGAAGTGTGGCGATATCTTTTGCGAACGCTGTATCGATAAGAGTATTCCTTTGCCTGGCCAGGATAGCGGCAAGCCAGTACCAGTGTGTCGTGCTTGCTTTAGAGTCCTACAAAAAACTAGTCCGTGAATACTCAACTCAGTGAGTGACTGCAAGAACGAGCAGTGAAGAGACAAAAGAATTCCTTGAGTGCATACTTAGTCAAGACTGCTGTTGTGTTTAGCTTAGTATGGGAGTGTATGTGCGATGTTCTTTAAGCATCTCGTTTGTTATGTTCGTGGCGTGAAAGTGCAAGCTGATTTAGCAAAATTAAAATTCAGTTTAATGAAAAAACATGCTTACATACTAGGTAACCGTTATAATCACAAAAAGTTGATGTATTTGCGAAAAATTAAAATTTATTGCATTTCTAGAGTATTTAAAAGCTATCTAAAAAAAAACTAAAAAATATATATGTAAGTACATATATGAATTTATTAAAGAAACGAATTGCAAAATAAAAATGCTCTGTTTGACGTTCATGTATACCAATGTACTATCGAAATGCCACCCGGTAAAGAGGCCGAAAAAACGCTCATTTTCCAATATAAAGTTTACTGTACCTAGACCTAAGAACCCAAGTGCTCTCCAACTCCAATATTAATACATAAATAATATACATATACAAATACATTAAAGTATATGTCACGAATATATAAGTTGTTGCCTTAGTTTATGATGTTGAGTTCTATGAAAAAAATGTTTTTTTTTTTCTGCAACTGTTTCTGCAGCTAGTTTACTCTTAAGTTTTGCATGCTGGTACCTCAAAATTCTATTACCTTCAACTCTATAGCACTTAACTATAGTTGCTATTCATAGTATACCATTTTAGTTTCAGTGGCGTGGCTAGCGACCCACAAGTTTAAAGCGTTTGGACTTTGTTATTTCTAAGTTTGTAATTTTAGTTATGAATTGGTGAATTTTTGTATGTCTTCCAAAACGATTTCAAATTTAAGCGTCAACTTTGTGATAGAAGGTGAATAAAGATGATAAGCATTAGATGTTCTTAACGGGTGAGAGATTTTATGAAATAACTTGCACTATCATCGTAAAAGTCAGCTTCATCAAATTTGAATGAGAAACGAATTTTCCCGCTTCTTAACGGGTTTCTTTTTAACCGACTTCCAAAAAAGGAGGAGGTTATAAGTTCGTCGGAATATTTTTTTTTATTTTTTATTTATTTTTTTTTATGTATGTTACCGCATAACTTTGGACCACGTCAACCGATTTCGATAATTCTTTTTGCATCGGAAAGGTAGTGTCTCAGAGGTGGTCCCATACTAATCTGGATCAGTGGATCATGAGATATATATATATATATTTTTTTTTCTTTTATATGTGAGTTGAAGTCGGTTTTTTTTTGCTAAAAATTACTTTTTACTTTTAAATGTCAATGCAAAAACGGTATGAATTTACCGCCGGTTAAGAACTCATCATCATTTGTGTAACAAAACAAATTGCACAATTTTACTGCTTATCATGCAAATGGTAGTGGTACATTTTACTGCACTGTCAGTTAACCGGAGCGTGTATTTTTAAATTGTGTTAGTATTAAGCCGCATGGCACATAATTTTAAGTTTTTCAATTAACATTGTTAAAATTTCTTAAACTGCACAAGTTTCACATTCATTTCAAGAGTGCAATTCAATCTGTCGTTATTGACTGGCTATTAGACGAATAAATATGTATGTATGTAGATTTTAATCAAATTATTCAGTAGAATGAAATATTGGAAATTAAACATGAAAGAAATATATAAATTAAATGCTAAAACGCCCATAATACAAACATAATTATTTAGTATTTTTTTCTCTTTAACTGAGTAAGTAATTTTATTACAAGTTAATTTTATGCAAATAATTAACACAGCGCTAGAAAGTGGTAATAAAATAAACCCATTGACCGCTTTGCAATTTTTTTTCAGCACATCCTGAATTCCTGTTGCTAATAGCCAATTTCAGTTGGTTTTATACGCAATATCACCGGCACACTAGTGCAGGGCAGTATGGAAACTTCAGTCACAACCGCTGTTACTAGCTCGGAAGGTGTAATATCATACATCAAATTCAATGGCGACATTTTCCCTTTCGACTGCCAATTTGCCAAACTACACTTTTCGCTGCGAATTAAATCATCCGGATTGCCCAATTCATTATAGACGATTGCATCGGTTTGTGAGCGTTCACTAAATTTGTGCGTTTCGCAACAAACTAACACAGGCACATTGAACGAGTGTGCCACAAGTGCAACTTGTGCTGTACCGGTACGTGCCATTACATAGCCATTGGCAAGTAATGCATGTGCCCCTAGTAGTACCTTTGTCGCTTCGGGCATAACAAAACTTATAGCGTTGATGAGTACATAAGTGCATGGTATTTCTTTGACAGTTAAACGGCGCAACAGCTCTTGACCCTCACAGAAGGGACGTGAGTCTACTACGATTACACGAAAGTCGACACGCCTGCGTTGTGCTTCCTCAAAGATATACGTTATCAAGGATGAGCTGAAAATCGATAAAGGTTACACTTGCATATTCAATGCTATTCTAAGTAATCGTTCTAATTTACCAGCCAAATGTCAGTATAACATCCCCATTTGAGATTTTCTCTTGTACAGAGTAGCTGATGGCCTCGGCCGCTTTTCCGATCTGGTTTTCAATATAGGTGTCGATAAAGCGGCACAAATTCTCTTTTAACTATAACATATCAAAAACAACACGAGAGTAATACATATTTGTATAGTTATATGCATACATATGTGGAATTGTTAGCCACCTACATCTGTTTCCGGCTGATCAGTTGGCAACTGTGTCAGCACATGCTTAATATGCTTATATGCGTTGCTTACGGATACTGCAAGCGGACGGCATTTCTGCAAGTGTTCTACACTATTTGTTATTGTTGTCTCCAAGCTGCGTGTAAATTCTTTTTTTGGAGGTGTCTCGAAATCTCTAATAACCTAGAAATTTCCATATTAGATAAAATTTGTGGTGTTTGTCATCAAGCCTAAAAATTTACCATTTTCAATGCATTAAGAAAAGCAATGCATCTCGCATTTGAACCCACAATTGTGCGTTTGGCATACTGTTCTCCCAGGCGGGCGATACTCGGGTGTATGTGTGGATTGTTCAAAAATAAGCTCACATCTTGTCGTGCCTTCTCCAAATGATTGAAAAGACGCACTTTGCAATCGTTTAAGCGTAAAGACTTTGTCAAGGGACTAATGTTTTTTGTTGGCGAAGTACTAGCAGGAATAGTAGACGCCGCTTTTATTGGGGTGTTGGATGGTGACGCCTTGGGGATGTCCTTAGCATTGTTGGAAGTACCAGGCTTTTTTTGTGCAGTGAAATTTTTTTGTGCTTTGGCCGCACGTTGAGCCTCTTGCAAAGCGCGCCTTTCGGCTTTGCTTAAAGTTGGTTTTTTCTAAAATATCGGTTAGTGAGTAGATTTTAAAACATATAATCCTAATCATATTAAAACCTTGTCTTCCTGTGCAGTTGTTGAATCTAATTTTGTGGTAATCTTAGTGGCTTCTAATTGTGCTGTAATTTCTGGAACGCCTGTGGCTTTAGCCTCCTTTAGGACCTGTTTTGCTTTCTTCTTCGCCTCACGTTCAGCTTTGATTTGCTCACGAGTTTTGTCAATACCAGCAGCGGGCGTATTAGTGACAGCGATGTTCGAAAGGGTGTAATCAGATGGGGTTTTCTGGCCACCAACAGCAAGTGCAATTGTCTTGCTTGCAACTGGCGCTATTGCAGTTGTTGCCTGTGGACCAGTACTTAATGGCTTTGCTTTTTTTGTCTGTTTAGCCAGCTTTTTCGCCTCGCGTTCTGCCATTATTTCTTCGCGCGTTTTTCCGGGTGCAGAATTTACTGAGGTGGGGTTCGAGGACATAGTTGTTTCTTCTACTAATTGCCTTTTAAATCCTGTAATATTTACTTGCGTGTGTTTGGTTTCTGATTTCTCTTTTAAAATACAATCGGAGGAACTTTGTTCAACTGCCACCTTAGTGTTATCTATGTATGTTAGATTTAGATTTTAATGAATTGAGTGGGTGTGGTATGAATATTACTATATTTACTAGTAGAAAAATTACTTGGCCCTGTTACGTCAGGCTCGACTGCCTCAATGCCGTCACTCTGTGGCAACTCGAACGTAGACTCGGATCCTAATGCCAGAGATTTATTGATTTTATTACGTTTGCGCTGACGCGGTCCCGCACGTTTTTTCTTTTGGCCGGCAATGCTTCCTTCAGACTGTGATTTTGTCTTTGATAGCTGCTCCTAAAAAAGCGACTCAAATAAAAATGTTTATAGAACATACTGATGTTGTAGTGGTATTTGAATGGGGGATCCATTGCATTAAATTTTCAATACATAAATCATATGAAAAAAGGAAATATAGCCGAAACGAAGCGGTGCAAGAAACTCGAGAGTTATATATTTATTAGCGAGAATTGTATAAATGTACCTTATTCTCCTGAATACCAGACATTTTTTAATCCCTTTCTGCGTCCAAGCAGTGCAAAAGATATAGGTAGAATGTATGTAAAGAATTCTTTAAATTCACATTTTCATTGAGAAATATATCATAGATTCCAATACAATTGATGCATGCATTTACAAAGGGACAAATAAGGATAGAAAAAATCAACCGCGGTGGCACCGTGGCTTTGAAATATATTCGGAATAATTACCTTGCACTTTTCTACAATGTATGTAAATAGTTATTTTAACATCAAATATCGTTATTTACCTATAAATTGTTAAATTTGCTCACGACAGCAGCGGAAATTAATTTCGTTCGCAAATGTCAAATTAGAACTGCGAAACTATCGATACGCACTGTCGATAGTGTCGATGATTTCTTTCGGTCTATCGAAGAACTCACTGGAGTACTCTTATGCAGGAAAAAGCGTTCGACGAGCGTTTTTCTGAAACTAACGCGTGTATTTTCTTGCGCTAAATGTCTGATATTAGGACTAATCCAGTACTAATATTACTGGTTCTTACTGGATGGCGTTTTCGTACGAAAAAACTTTAAAGAAACCAGCGAAAGAGAGAATTGGGAGAGCAAAAATGGCAGCTGAACTTGAAAGTTTTCCAAAGAAGGTTAATTTATAGTTCTCTGTTGGAACCCCGCAAGGCGTATTTAACAGGTGATAGCAGCACCCTTTTATTCCTATGAAATTTTTGACAGTCCTCGCCGCAAAAGCATAAACAAAATACATTTACATTTTGTTGTTGGCGTACCGATACCACCTTATTGAATACGCCTTGGAACCCCGTTCTCAAATGGGCTGGAAAGACTAGTGTGTCGAGGCTCATTCAGCCAATAATAGGGTAGATAAGCTCGTTATACCACACTGATTAGTTCTACCACAGGGTGATAATTTTTTTTTTGAAAAATCGTCTGGCAACATCAAGATTAATTTCAGCTGTCACCAGTTGTCCCTGTGAAGAAGTCGTCGATTTTATTGAAAAAAATTCATTTGTGTTTGGATTTTACTATTGAACATACGAAAAATGGCTGCCATTCTTTCACAAGCTTTTCGACGTCAAATCTCTATTAGCTTCAACAGAGCTGCAGTTGAAACTGCTGCCACCGCTGGTGAACATTCTGGTGAGTAGAAATACCAGAAACTTTCGTAACCTTCCTTGCGCCCAGAGTGGTGGAGGAGGTTAGCCAAGTGGGAGGTTATGTAATTTCGCTTATTCTTAAAATGATCAAAATTACTGGAATTCATTCATTTTAGGTGGTTACAAAGTTTGGAAGCGTCTTTCATTCTTTGTAGCAATTCCTGCTGTGGGACTTTGCATGTTAAATGCCTACTTGAAGCATCAAGAGGAACACGACCACCCGCGCGATGAATTTGTAAAATACGATTATTTGCGACGCCGGGAGAAGCGATTCCCATGGGGTGATGGCAACAAAAGCCTATTCCATAATCCCCATGTCAACCCACTGCCTGATGGCTATGAAGATTAAGTCGTATAAATGCAACATTGCTGTAGCCGAGTTGAGAAGAGCCATATTACGGGTCTTAACATTACTTCGCGTCATTCGTCGCTTTTAATTGATTTGATTTCATTAAAAATTTAAACAATGATTTCGACTGATAAATAAATACATAACAATTCGATCGTAAATCTCGATTTCCTACACCCTAGCTATTCCGGGTTCAGAGGTAGCTTTTGTATAGATTTCATGAAAAATCAGACTTAAGATGCATTCAGCAATATACTCTTGTATGGGACACCTGTGCAATAAAAAATTTATAAACTGGAATTGATGTCTTCCACATCTTCTAGAGCACATACATATGACACTTTCACGACGGGCGGTTCTATCTACCGGTAAATCCCCGGGGTGGAGGGGGAGTCGTTGTTTCGGCGGGCCTATCTACAAAAAAAATTTAAATAACAGGAGAAAGAAGGATCTATAAAAGGTAAATTCGGGTTTTTACTAAAAAGTTCATTGCTCCTACGTGATGCTACATATAATAGTAAAAGATAACTAAAATGGCGTGGCTGGAGCAATTACCGTGCCAATTCTAGTAATCCATATCAAGATGCACCTCAACTTGTTTTGAAATGTTATTAGACTACTCTGGCCCTCAGGCCTCAAATAAGACCGTGTTACTTTTTATGAAAGACCACGATCTACGCAGAAATTTGGGCGTCCCTAGAGTATTTGAGCAAAAATTAAAACGGTTACTTTTTATGAAGCAGCATAAGTTCTGCAAGTAAACGATTCTGCCTACATCAGCATTTCAGCAGATTTCCAGTTGTGCACCAGCAAGTTGGCAACAATGTTGCAATAGTATTGTAAGTATTCTTATATTTAATTTCGCAACATATAACCAAAATATTAATTCAGATAGTACATATGAATGTATATAAAGATGGTTCATTAATTTATTTTGATGATTTTTGTGTAAGGATCAAATTTCCGTCCTTGATGCGTAAACGTCCTTGCTTAGCCATAGCTGCGGCTTCTGCTTTTGTGACAACAATTTTCTGTACTCTCATCCTTTTCTCATTAAATTTCATTTTGACAACCTTATCACCCGAATGCTCGGTCTCGGTCCCTGCGATCAATTTGTCTGTATCTGGTGTTGCCGATACAATAGCGGTCGATGTGATTCCTCTCCTTATTGTGGTCTTCCTTTGGTGTGCAGTTTTTGAACCTTTGCTGGTGGAAGCAATACTACCTTCGAAATTGTCGTTTTTCTGCTCTACTTTTACTTGATTTGTGGTAGATACACCAATATTTGCTGAGCTTCGATTAGCACCGACATTTCTAGGTGACTTTCGAGTGTTTTCTGCTATATTTTCTACATTGCCGCTTGGTAGTTTGCGTTTCATTGTTACATCTTTGTTTACAACTTCGTTTGCTACATTAATTTCGTCATTCACTTTAATTTTCTTACTAACTGGTTCATGGTCTTCGAGCATTTGGTTAAGTATCTCCGTATCGAACGCATTATCAAGTTCCTCTAATTTAAGGTATTCCACGTCATAATGTGATTCTTCTTCGGCAATCTCTGTTTTAGGTACTTCAACGGTTTGTTGGCTAACATCGGCTGCAACTTAAAGAGTAATTTAAAATTCAATACTGAGCGCAACATTGGCCTAAGATCCTCCTTACCTTCACCATCGTTGATTGTAGAAGGGAATTCATTGCCTGTGGGTATATTATCATAAATAAATCCCCCCATCGCTTCATCTAACTCTTCATCACTTCCCTTTTTCATCTCGCGTTGGTTTTTCCTTTCATCTTCGGCGTAAGCTGCTAGTTCTGAGGGGTGAGCTGTTTCTACATGACATTTTTTTTCATTATAAGTAAGGTAGATTAAATCGCAGAATTCACAAGCGAACGCGTCATTATTAGTATGTTCTTTAATATGGGCTGTTACTGATGCAACATCTTCGAAGCATTGTTGGCATAGGGGGCAAGTTAGTGTTATAGTTGCATGTACAGTACAATGCAAAACGAGTTCGTTGCATGTCTTGAATTGCTCTTGACATTCGTTGCATGAATACATAACAACGCTTTCATTATGAGTACGCATGTGGCGCGACAAGTGATGCGATAGCAAATATGATTTTGAACAAAATTTGCACGGAAACGGTCGCTCTCCTGCATGTGCTACCAGGTGACGAGCTAATTTAGAAGGTGTGCAGAAACTTTTATCACAGTATTGACAGTGATGTGGCTGTTCGGTGGAATGCACTACCTGAAAATTTAAATTAACCATTTACAACTAAACTGAAATAGCACATATTGCAATCTAAACTTGCCTCGTGACGTTCTAAACCTTGCTTAAAAGCGAATGCTTTAGAGCAAATTTTGCACTTGAATGGTCTGTTCTTACGATGGCGCTCAGTGTGCTTTTCCATATCATCCTTGGACAAGAATGTCTTCTCACAAAATACACAAAGAAATTTGGGTATGTCGGTATGTATTTTTTCATGTCTATGCAATAGTGCAGGTCTAGTGAAACCTCGATAACAAACTGTACACTTGTACTTGCGTTCGCCCGTATGTATTGGGGCATGCTTTTGAAGGTCATATTTGGAAAAGAACGAACGGTTGCAATCTGTACATGGAAAATGACGTTCACGTGTGTGGTTCACGACATGGATGTCACGTAGCTGCAACAAGGGAAATGTGCGCTCACAGTGAGGGCATGGGAAAACATTTGTTTGAACGGGAGCTGCATTCTTTATGGGATCTGGTTCGGGTTCATAGGGCTCATTTGGATCGAGTATTTCAGTAACAATAGAAACATTGCCATAATTGTCTTTCTTCAGCTGTGGGTGTTTAAGTCGTGGCTCCAGTTCTATATCAGCTTCCTTATTCAATATGCGTATGGAAGATTTGTTTAAAACTTTTGGTTTATTTTTTTGTTCTTTCACAGTTGAAGTATCTGGAGTAGTTAGAGTGATTTCTTTGAATGCCACATCGTTTGTGGTGAATTCAAGTTCTTCAGAAGCAATTAAACGTTGCACATCGTCTAAAGAAATTTCTTCGTTATTTTCTACTTTTGTTAGGAAACAAAAAGCTTCATCGCGATTCTCTTTTTTAAAACGCATTGGCATGGGCGGCTCCGGCAAATCGGCCGGATTGGAGTTAAGTATTTTTCTAGGCGTTGACATTGAAGTGTATGTTTTAACATTAACTGCCTTTGATCCGCCTACATTAGCACCGTATTTCAATGGCGACAGCTGTTCTTTACTAGCTGAAGGCAAAATATACACTTCTTGTACTATCGGTCCATCCTCTTTGTGCGGAGTGATTGGTTTTGGTAAAAGTTCCTTCGGTATAATTGGTTTTATTAAGGGGGCAGGCCATTCTCCAAGAAGTGGAACTTGGGTTAATAAATTTTCGGCCTTCTTACACATTTGTTTGAAGCGATAGCAATAATCAAATGTCAAACGGCATTTCAAACATACCGATGAAGGCATCCCATCATTTAGAAATACCTACAAAAATAAATAAGAAAAGAAAATATAAATGCAGTTATTTATTTTGGTTAAGAATTAGGCACTATTTACACTATTTTGAAATAACTTAACAATAATCTGATTTACATATACTAAGTTTATGCGTAGGCCAATTCATGAAATAATTTATCATCACTCATTGTAGTTGTAATGAAGCAGTGTTTGCATTATTCAACTTTCACAGGAGGTTAGCTGAATCAAAAGTTGAACGAAAGTTGGATGCCGATCAATTTCTTTGGAAGCGATTTGTTGAAAGGCCGTTTGCACTATTCAACTCTCGCATTCAACAAAAAGTTGAACAATGCAAACGCTGCTTAACATTGCAATTTTTTATATGCATTTTCTGTAGTAATTATACCAGGGAGCCTCTGTTACATCCCAGATGATCACATTCCAAAAGTGTAAAAAATGCAAGAGAATGCTTCCGGAGCCACATTTCCTGGATACAGTATCGTCCATTTTGGATAGCACAGGGTGATTGATATGTGTAAAAATAACGAATTTTGTTTACATGCATTTTTGTCATTGTATCACACTGCAAGTTCCATTTCTTGAGCTAACCTTAAAAAATGTTGCCAAGTGTCTTTTTTGGCAAAAAATAATACAATGCTTACACGAAAAAAAATCCATAAACTTTTCATCGTCTTTGATGCCTCAGCTTTTATTGATATTTAGACAAAGGCATTGAATATGTAAAATATGTATGAGAAGATTAAAAAAAAAAAACTAAATATCATGGCACATTGAACAGGTACATAATAGCACCAGAGCAAATCAGGCTGCGTATATTTTAATGTTCATTTTGTACTGTTCAAAAGGTAAACAAAATTTGACAATTTATAGTAAAATGTAAATAAAAATTACCCCACTTCGAATGAAAAAGTTAAACTGATTTGGATAGTTAATTATTTTTTTAATTATCACCCAAGAAAAAAAAAGTACAAGCTGCAGTCGGGGAGAAATGTTTTAAAAAGTGGGTGACCGGGGCCTTCTCCTAACTCAAGACAAATTCATATAAGGTGGTAGCAATTATGCAAAAAAAAAATGTTTATGTATGTATTTCGGTTTTCGGTCAAGCTGTCAAATCAGTAAAAGCAAAAACAGAAGACTTGTAATGCGAATGAAAGAGCAAGAAACCAGCTTGTCTAATAATACCACATAAATTCACCTTGACTTGACTTATCCCTTTTTAGCGCAAAAACACAAAAACGCAACACTGTTTCGGAAATTCCGATAACAATTCCATTTCATTGCAACAAAATGCGCGGCGTCTCGCCTCATGTGTATTTATCAGTTTTTTGCCTTCTTCCTAGCAAACAAGTGTAGTGTTGTTTTTAACGTTGGTTGATATTTTATGCAATTGATTGTTCGGCACGTTGCTTTTGTTTGTTGCTTTGAATTTACAGAGTAGTAGGAGCATTATTAGTATTAAACGTACTGACCTCTAGCAGCAGAGTAATCGCTAGCTACATACGGGCACGGTTTGTAAAGTGGTCTATCCATTTTGGGTAGAGAATTGTATTGTGAAAACTATTTTTCATTCGAATATGAATTAAATCTAAACGAATTTTAGACCACAACTGCTGCGCACTTACATACGAACTAGAAACTCTGTAAATATTTTTGGAGGTTTTTGTGTAGAGCGCATTACCTAGATTTCGGATCGAAATTCATAAATCATACCTGCAGAACAAAAACTACGCAGATTTTTCAATATTGATATACAAATGTATGTATGCATATGTATGCAAGAAGAGACTGATTAAAAGGGAAAACCTGCAATTGAAAACGAAATAACGTGATGACGGACGAATGCATTTCCATAAAGTACGACATTTGTGGAAAGGACAAAACAGGCATACTAATGATGGGTCGTGATAAGCTAGATGCACAACCAACGGGACGGGAGAAATGCGCGGGCGGAGAAAACAATTTGATTGGATCCAATGGAAACATTGACGATGCTAGTGCAGGGTAAATATTAATCGCTTGCGCGCACTGCCGTGCGCTGTGATAACTTAAACTCAATAATTATGATGCAAAATATTTCGATACACACACAAATAACGATATTGATAAAAACAAATGCAACGATTTGGTATTTTTAGTTGAGCTTATGCATGTATTATAATTTTATTTAGGTTAACTTTTTTCAGCTTACTTTGTACTGATAAGCTCAAACATTTTTGTGGTCTAACGGAGATATTTTGTTTTTCTTACTATAAAGATTGAACAAATATACCGCGTATATGCCCACTGAGCGTCATGCGAGCGAATACAACATGAATCATAAAAATCGAGGTCTTGCCTTAATTTTCAACCATGAATATTTCGATATTCCATCATTAAAACCGCGACAAGGTACAAACGTCGACTCTGAAAAGTTAGGAGCTGCTCTCAAAAAGCTTGATTTTCAGGTAGACATCTATAAAGATTGTAAATTGAGAGACATTCTCAAATATGTCGATAAAGGTATGCACATCTTTCTTATGTTACGATTTGTATTTATTAAAAATATTAAAATTTCAGCTGCTTCTCAGGATCACACCGATAACGATTGTATTGCCGTCGCCATACTATCACATGGGGAGCACGGCTACCTCTACGCCAAGGACGTTCAATATAAATTAGATACTATTTGGCACTACTTTAGCGCACATACTTGCCCTACTCTAGCGGGAAAGCCCAAATTATTTTTCATTCAAGCCTGTCAGGGCGACCATTTCGACCCTGGAGTACTCATGCGTAAGACTGAAACCGATGGCGAAACATCTATGAGCTATAAAATTCCTGTTCATGCCGATTTTCTTATTGCCTATTCAACCATACCGGGCTTCTATTCGTGGCGTAATACCACTAATGGTTCCTGGTTTATGCAGTCACTAGTGGATGAATTGAATGCTAATGGGAAAAAACACGATATTTTAACCTTGTTAACATTCGTCAATCAGCGTGTTGCAGTCGACTTTGAGTCTTGCGTGCCAGATTGTCCGATAATGCATCAGCAGAAACAAATTCCATGCATTACGACAATGTTGACTCGTATCTTGCGCTTTACCGACAAACCATCTAAAGGCGCTTAATTCAAAACATACCATTTGGGCACGTGGCACATATAGCAGGTGTCTGAAATTCTTTACACATTACAATCATCATTGCAAAAATATATGTACTACACGCGTATGCACGCATGGTACATTACATATATGTGGTAAAAGGAGTTGATAGATAATCATTAAGCAATCATTACATTGTACAACTGCGACAGAGTACACATTTTAGTGTGTATTTAAAGCTGAGACTGAACTGCTCCCCATTTTCATTGCTTTAATTTTGCCATTTAACTGAATTTAAATGTATTTTTGAAGACGTTACATTATAATCATAAGCGTATTTTTTTTCTAAAATAATGAATTAACTTGAATTAAAATAAGAAATTGTATTACATACATACATACATATTTAGTAGACTCTTTTTTGGTGGTGTGCGTCTTTGATTTTTCTCGGGGGGCTGTTTTGAATGAAATGTTTGAACTTAAAAGTTTCTTCAACTAGTTAAAAAACATATTTTGTGCATTGTGGCACTTAGTACGAAGTTGATGTGGCCGTTCGCCAAACTATCGGATCTAGGTAATCGGAAACAACTGATGTACATATATGATATGTATAGTAGTTATCTGCCTATGGCCTGCGCCCCATCAAAATTTCCTAAAGCTCTTGCCCGTGCTGCTACAACATCGGTATTGTAGCTGCACTTTGTCCGCAGTGAGCGAAGATTATTGTTCTTGACCGAGTTCCGCCAACAAGCTGTCAGTCCATAAACACCTACACGGACAACCCCCAAAAACAATAGGAATATCCACGCTTTTTAATGGTAAGTAGACCTATGTGTTCAATGAACAAATTTATAAATATAAGTGGATCTAAAATTTTATTCAAACTACTAGTTAATATTTGGCGCGGAATTGAGAATTGCCACATTTTTTCCTGTATATGCATTAAGCAGGGATCATAACAAATCTATTTAGGAAACAAACCAATTTCGCGGTTAGGCAATGTTCGAAATTTATCACAATCATTTTCCTTATGTTTATTGCAAGTAGATTACTTACCTCTATAGAGGCCACAGCCATTATTTCCACCGGCAGCGGGAATAAAGATTTAACCCGACTATCCTTTGCATATATGTTAGTGAGATCGTCGGTCCTTTGAGAAAGACAAAAGCGACAAATTGCTTTGGCTTTTAACTCTGCCGTCAGAGCTTCTCGCTGCTCCTCGTTGGTTGCCATCACTTTTGCACACTTTTAATAAGCACTTTTGTAATAAACCCACGAATTAAAAAAATTTTTGCAAAGTATTTGCAATTCAAAGAAATTTCTCAGAAAATTGGTTGGAATAGATTTCTTTTCATTCACAAAAATGGTGGATGTGGGCTTGGATGCAAAGTGTTGTCAAATGTGTCATTTCGACGAAACTTCGAATAACTTCGAAAGTGAGTACATACATACTTACATAAATATTTCGAAATTTCTCTCTGTATTTGATAAGAGCCTTATCGGGCATTTTATTATATTTGTTTAACCATAGATTATAACAAAAAATTCAAATAATTTTATGTAAAAATATGTTTGAAATATCCTAGTTTTGTTAACTTGTGAAGATTTTCTCATCTTCGAAAAGTCTCCATGAAACGAGCTACACCTGCCACTTCACTCATAGATGCCGCTGTGAACAGTAGGAACTGCTCAATGTCCGAATTGGGGAAGAGGCCATGGATAGAATTTTCAAATAAAGATGTTCGCTTTCGTTTCGAATAAACGCACGCATTTTTTAAATACCTATATGACCAGCAAATTTAGAATTTTTAAAACGTCTGTCGAAGGCAACTCGCCTTGGCGAGTCGTTTTCTTTTCGCTTCAGGCGATATTTGGAATAATTTTATTATTTTTCCTATTTTTTCAATCTTGTCTTTGGTACAAATTATACGCTTTTGGGAATTTTTGATAACCGTACCGCGCCTGTTGAGCAGGTCTTTAAGGGCCCTACACTCGCACTGATTTATCGGCCAACCGCTAGAAGTTGGTGGTAAATAAGCTGAGTGTAGGCAAGTTGGCCAATCTTCGTCAAGTTGACCGTCAGGTTGGAGAAAAATCAAAAACTTTTTATTTTTGAGGCAGATTGTCAACTTGTTGGTCTGTATGTAGACAAGTTGGCAACTTAAAATGCGATTTCATTTTTTAAAGGCGCATTAACGGTAACATGTGTTTTTCGGTTCCTTTCGCTAGTGAAAATGCGTATAATTTGTGAAAACGGGGACGGTAGCAATAACAAATACATAATAAAATTATAATTTAAAAAACTAAAACCTCCCTAATATAATTGCTATTGTCATCAGGTATGTAACTTGAGAATAGAAATCGCTGCATCTTTTAGGCGCATCAATAGTGCATAGTTACATCCCGAGATAATAAAAGGAAGGTAAAAATGAGAAGCATTACTTCTCCTTCTTCTTTATTGACGCTGTAACCGCCTAAGCGATTTTGGCCGAGTCCAAAACTGCACGCCAGTAATTTCTCTTCTGTGCTAACTGACGCCTCTCTATATAAATTAAAATTGTTGATGATAACTTAAATTTTAGCTCCATTTTCGATATTTGCAGTACACAAAAATAATAATAAATAGCGAAGAACAAGAACAAGAACTAGAGCTACCAAACGAATTACTAATGGCTGAATTTCTTTATTCATTCTGAACGTTTGGAATAAACTTTTTGTTTACTTATTCTTTAGAACGTTCCTGATGATATGTTAACGAATATTTCAAACACATTCTGTTTATTCCGGCTGTGAAATGAGATTATCTGGAATGTATAAAGAAACGCAGCCTATGTGTGGTGTGGAAACAGGGTAATTCACGAATTACTTAGCAATTACTTCGAGAACTAATTACGAAGCGTGGAAATATCGTATTAGGGCCTTTTAGAAATGTCAGTTATCAAAAATCATCTATCGATTATTTTTAGATCGAGTGGAAAATTTTCGACGCATCGAAGTAAAACATCGATATTTTTCGGACATTCCTACTTGCGACAGGGTTTATTTTTATAAAAAAAAACTCAAAGTATTGTAAAATTTTATACATAATGTACAACGGCGAATGCAGCATACTCATAAAAGATATTAAGCCGGGACTCAAGAATATCAACGTAATTTTTATCGTTTTAGAAATAGGAACTGCCACTGTAACCAAGGAAAATAGAGAGGTGCGAAATTTCAAAGTTGGAGACCATTCTGCTTGCATTAATGTTTCTATTTGGGATGAACCGGGAAAGCTTATAGCACCCGGCGATATTATTAAGCTGACGAAAGGATACGCTTCCATTTGGCGTCACTGCCTTACCCTGTATTCTGGCAAAAATGGCGAAGTTTATAAAATTGGAGAATTTTGTATGACATTTAATGAGCAAATAAACATGAGTGAACCGAAAAGGCCTGAACAATCACAGCAGCAGTCACAAGGACTGGGAGGAATAGTCGGCAATCCTCAACTAATGCCAAATACAAGTGGAGTTACAGGGCCTGTGGTTGGCTCCAATACAAGTAGCGTTCCGGCTTCTACACAGCAGGTACAGCAGCCAGGCAGTAATGGAAGTATTGTACCCACCGGTCAAGGAGTTCAACGAATTATTGGAGCAACTATAGGTGGAAGCATCCAGCAGTCGAGTGTAACAACAGCTACTAAAACTGTAAATCTACAACCCTTAGGACAGACGCAGCAGAAACAGCAGTTAAGTAGTGGATTAAGCGCCCAAGTATCTGTAAATACAACTGCAACAAGCTCAGTTCAACAATCCACGCAAGCAGTGACCACTGCTGGTTCTATTCCGCCATCACAAGCAACCAAGCCAAATCGCGGCGGACGTACTGGGGCGACACGATCAAGTAATCTCAAGAGTGAACGTAGATGAAGAAAGCATAAATGCGTAGGCGTAATGGACATCAAAGTAAATTAAAATACATCATGTTAATATAAATCTTTGAATTAGTTTTATTTCAATCCTAGATATGCTTATACAAAGCGGTTTAGATCAGGTTTGTTACAGCATTGTATAACATATTTCGGCATCGTGGTATTGTACAAGCCACATACCTTTTTTGGTCGAAGTAGATAAATTAATATGTGCAGCCTATACCAAATGTGCTGAACTTTTGGATCTTTGGGACTACAATCTTTGGCAAATCTATCATTAAAGTGCACGATGTCTATTCCGTCCTTTATGGCTTTTCTTAAGACGTTATTCGTGATAATGATGTTAAGATTATTGGCAAGAGCATCCACGCATATTCTCGTTAAATATTTATCTGAAATTAAGATATCAAAAAAGAAATACGGACAACGACACATTTGAGAGACCCGAAATGTACCTTTAACTTGGAAAATTAGTTTCGGTTCCTGCTTTCCTTTTGTCCACACAAATGCAGTTATGGAAATACGACTGTCATTTGATAATCTTACCTCCGTGGCTTTGTTTTCTTGCAATTCCTGTAGCCGCTTTTGTTCTAAAAGCTTAAGTTTCTGTTAAAATTCAGATAATGCAGATTCTAATTAAAGAACGCGTTTGAATTTAGAGCATATTTACGTCAGTTCGCTTTAGGTCGCTTACAATACGTCGAGTTGTGTATACAATACCGGACCAACTTTCTGGAAGAGTGCTTATTATTTGATTTGGAGAAGCCAACAGCAAAGGAGCGTCACGATCCTGAGTAAATAGAAACAAAAACAATCTAGCTTTATTTCACGTAGAGACCACGAAGAATAACGCCATATATTTATTACCAAATTGTTGACTGCGAAATCCTCTACTGCAACTGGTTCACCAAAATTATTTAAAAACATAACTCTTGTAAAATTAATAAGCATCCAAATAATTCAAACGAGCTCCAATATTTGTTTATTGTAGTCATGGAATATCCAACGGGTAACCACTGCTGTATTGTTAAACGATTACTCGATAAATAATCCGGTGATACCAAAGAACGTTATCTACGTTCTTTGGTGATACGTGATGGAATCAAACAAAAGCAGACAGTTTTATATGGCATGCAATAATTCATCGCACTGGTTTGTGTGTGTTACTGGACGTCTCCACGTGCTTTATAATCTCGCTTGCGTGACGGCGCATATTCCTACGATTCCTACGTTTAGGTGCAAATCAATTCAGGAGCTAATTTCACGAATTTTGGTTAAAATTGTTTGCATAAACACATTAGTTGCGTTCCAGATGCTTCACGATATTCACGAAATTCGTGATTTGCAGGAACAGCTGTTTTCTCCAGCAACTAATAGGTGCGTTCCAGATGCTTCACGATTTGCAGGTTTTTACAGGAAGTCGTTCCAGGTGACCACCTCCCATAAGGTTTATTAATTGAGAAAACAGCTGTTCCTGTAAATCGTGAATTTCGTGAATATCGTGAAGCATCTGGAGCGCAACTAATTTCATGAATTCAACTATAGAAGAAAGTTAACCATGAATTGCGACGTAATTTCATGAAATCGCGAAGTGCAATTTCAGCAACTCTTGATACTATGTTGACTGGGCATTTGAGAGCATACTTTTTCATTTGTAAACTGTCGCCAAATCAGAAGGTTCGAGCTTTGCAGGCTAAATTTGTATTTTCCACCAAAATAAACGATGTTGCTACTCTGAAGAATTCTGCGAAATGATAAAATACCTGTCAAACAACAAAAATTATAGTTGAAAGCATGCGAGAGCTCGCAAACCGTGAAGACAACCGGTTATATGCATGTTAAGCCCAATTTACATGATTCAGGAACTTGAATGCAATTCTTGTTCATTCTTTTTTCAGTTTCCAATTTGTTTTACGTGCGTAAATTTTATTGAATTCAAGTTTTCGGTGCTTTAAGTGAGAAAGAAGCAAAGGTCATAAGTACAGGAAGAAACATGATACGACTTGATGGTGCAGACCCATGTGTAAGCTCCTTATTTTCTCACCCCTCTCTTCAACAGAGAAACAGAATTGAATTAAATACTTGAACCATGTAAAAGCCGTCTTATATAAAAATGTTTGGATAATTTCCAAGTGGGTTTGACTATTGTGAACTATATTGAAAGGACCAGAGAACGTATATTTACGTTCTCAGAATGGACGTATTTTGTTTACTAATCTTTTGTGAACGTTGATTGGTAGTAAAAAGTTGAAATAAATAAAACTGCAAAATATGCGGATTTTGATTTTAATTGCTTTATTAGCACTTGTGCCAAGGAGCATTACCAAAAAGGCAAAAGACGGAGAGAAGCCTGAATGGGCTAAAAAGGATATACGCGACTTCACCGATGCCGATTTAGAAAGATTGCTGGATCAATGGGAGGTGAGCATAATTGGCCGACTATGCATTAATACAATTGCAACATGCACATGTTTGAATATCTTCTTAGGAAGACGAAGATCCTTTGGAACCTGATGAACTGCCCGAGCACCTTCGTCCACAACCAAGAATTGATCTATCCAATCTTGATAGTACCAATCCCGAGGAGTTGTTAAAAGCTTCTAAAAAGGGGCGTACGCTCATGACTTTTGTATCTGTAGGTGGTAAACCCACACGTGAAGAGGCCGATACAATAACAAAACTTTGGCAAACTAGCCTATGGAACAACCATATACAGGCGGAACGATATATGGTGGATGACGACCGTGCAATCTTTCTTTTCAAAGATGGGTCACAAGCTTGGGATGCAAAAGACTTCTTGGTGAAACAACCGCGTTGTAAAGGTGTTACAATTGAAAATAAGGAATACCCAGGCGCTTGGAGTAGTGAACATTCAAATGAGAAACAGGAATTGTAATGGCAACTCGTTGAATTTGCATTAAATCTGGAGTAAATAGTAACAAGTTCAAAAAGAGTAATTAATTCAGGTTATCAATGTAAGATACATCTATAAGTACATACTATGTATATTAATTATAATATTTTTGGATGGATTTGTATGTTATGAATTAAATACAATTTTGTATAATTTAGATTACATGGAACGGAAAATTTAATATATTTAAAATAGTATATCGAAAAAATATGAGCTTGTCTTAAGAGTTAAACATTGAAGGTCCCACCCAATGGCTCTACCAAATAACATGCATAAATAAGCAAGTCATAAGTAACAAATTTCAACCTAGGATTTCGTTTATAATTTTGATGATACTTCTTAATAAATCTATTGTGAATCGGTATTAAAAAAAATACTACAATTGCACGTTTTAATGACAGTTTCGACCCTTGCATTTGACCGATCTGCTGTTAGGTCTTGGATCTGTTATCATTTCGTTTTAGTTTTACATACCTACATATATTTGCTTTATTTTCTGAAACATACATTCCGGTTAAAATTTGTAGCAAATCAATTGCAATGCCAGTGGAAGCAAAAATAGGTCCATCGATTTTGAATGCTGATTTAGCTGACTTGGCACAGGAGTCGCAGAAGTTGTTAAATAATGGTGCCGATTACCTACACTTGGACGTAATGGATGGGCACTTTGTACCAAACCTTACTTTTGGTCACTCACTAGTAAAGTGTTTGCGGAATAAAATTAAGGTAAGTAAATTATACGTATGTATGAGTGTTGAAAATTATACTTGATTTCTAGCTAGATATTGCGTTTTTTTAGAAAGATTTTTTCGAGACTCACATGATGGTATCACGCCCACAGCAATGGATTGAACCTATGGCTGATGCAGGTGTAAACCTTTATACATTCCACATTGAACCAGTAATGAATGAAGTCTCAAATGTGTGCCGGAAAGTGCGCGAATCGGGAATGAAAGTCGGACTTGCGCTGAAACCGGGTACCGAAGTAGGAAGCATACACCAATCCATTGTACACAATTAGTTATACGGTAAAATGTGTTTATTTATTTCAGGTCGAAGTAGTTGAAAAGTATGTAGATATTGCAGATGTGGTACTGGTAATGACGGTCGAACCTGGCTTTGGTGGACAATCATTTATGGCAAATATGATGCCTAAAGTGGAGTGGCTGCGACAGCACTATCCAAATTTAGACATTGAAGTGGATGGCGGCGTTGGGCCGAAAACTATTGAAGCTTGTGCGAAGGTGATGAATACATGTTACGGTAATTACGTAAAACAATTTTAGTTACCTTTCAATATTTCAGGCTGGGGCCAATATGATTGTTTCTGGTACAGCTGTTATTCAAGCGCCTAATCAACACGATGTCATAAATTTACTAAGGAGCACGGTTCAAAAATATACGAATAGTACATGTACTCATGTGCACTGAAAGTTTACCTGGTTTCCTTGACTAATGGAGTTAGAAATATGTACCAAGTAAGAATGGATATATCATACCTACTGGGGAAATATGAAAAATTGAATGGGTGAACATTTTTTTTACTATTATGTACGATGTAGGGTCTACCTTGTGGACTAAAAAAATAAAGAAAAAAGAAACACAAATAAAGTAATATCTTAAAACGTAACAGCTTTTCTTTTTATGTGCATTGTTTTAAAACTCTCCGACAATGAAACTAATTAATGTTTTGTGCCATTTATTTATTTTCATTAACATTTATGTATATATATGTATATGCATTTTTTATTGGTATGTGGTATAGGTATGTACTTTTACAAATATACTTTTATGTGTGCATTTCCTTATCACTTTCAAATATGGTTGTATTTTTAGTCATATCTTAACAGTTACTTTCATTTCAGCTATGCATGTACATATGTATATTTTTATGGCCTTATTCATAAAAAATAAAGTAGGTGTAAAGAGCTTTATAAAATAACGTTTTCACATATTTTTCAGTTTATAAACCTTTTTTAAAGCAACTTTATTTTTTATGAATAAGGCCATTAATGTATATATTTTCACGTTGTAATAATGCAAACAAAAGCATTTGAAGCATTTTTTTGCATGCCACTTATTCCGACTTTTAGTGAAAAATATTTATACGAATGCAAATTGTGTATATATGTTATGCATTTATGTCTGTATGTATATTTTTTTGTCTCGTATTGGTAACTTTTTTATTTTTTGGTTTATGAAGAAGTAAGTATGTACATATGTACAAAAATAGGTTTTCAAATCGAATATCAATTTAAAATTTACTTCAAGCCTTCTTTAATTCCATCTTATTGTCTTTAGCTTGTTGGATTGACATTTAAGCAGCAAAGTCAAAAGGCTTTAGCAGTTAGCAGTTTTCTATTCGCCAACCACTTAACCAGTAGCGAACCGCACAGCAACTCGGCAAAGTGCGAAGCATGATCCTTGATTTAAATGACCACTAACGAACTAAGCAACTAAAATTTATAACTACATTTTATCACTTTTACTCGTCTCTGGTAGCAAACTTTGTTGTTGCTCTCTCATAGAAGTATTTTTGACAATCGAGCAGAGAACTGGCGAATCGACAGCGAATATTTGAAAATATTAAATTAAAAAAAGGGAAAATGTATCATAATTGCTAAAAAATCAGCTATAGAATAAAAAGCACGATGTATGGGACAAAAATACTAAGAAAGAGAAGATCTATATTGTCAAAACCTCTTATACTCTATGTAGATAGTTTTAAGATTATCATTTGAGTAAATTTGCTTAGAAAAATTTTCATTCCTTTTGAGTCAAGTTTTCTCAAGTGGCTTTTCGATTTTTTTATTTCATTGACCGACTTTGAAAGTTAATATGGTGTGCAATATTCGCACCAAAGATTTTGCGCTAATTTTATTTTTTTAACGAAAAAAAAATTGTATATGCAGGCTTTTACACTTTTTGAAATATTTCAGCAACCATTCATTCGGTCGATGAAATATAAAAAATCGAAAAGTCAACTTTGGGGGTGGCCCACTTGAGAAAACTTGACTCTTTATGTACATATGTACATACATATGTATGTCTGTATATATTAAATTTGGTGCAATTTTAACAAGTGCGGTTTATTCAGTTGCAACTTTGAATAACTTCATGTATACACCTACATGCTATTTTTTGGTACAAATTATTATTAAACTTTAGCAGTGTAATTCAGTGGGTAAACGAGAAAGTGAAAAATTTTGTCTTGAGGCGTATTGTAACGTGTTACTCCATCGATACAAAAACTAAGCGCTTACCACAAAAAAAACAAAAGTTTTTGCTGGGTACATACTTCCATTACTCAAAGTAACAAAAATTCACCATTTAATTTTTGTTTTAACTCCCAATCTTTCAATACTAAAATGTTATATAACTGTAATACCTATGGTTTGTGCAACTGTGAGAATTTACTTTAGTTTACTGGAAGCTTAAGTTTTTAAAAATAAAAAATTAGTTTAAACCTTTTTTTTATAACTATGTAGTACACCCTGAGCCCAAAGTATTTTTGGAAGGCAATTTGGAATTTTTCTTTTTTGTTTTGGCCGAACCATGTGGTCGCTTTTTTTAATGTTCCGTGACACCTATCTACATTCGGCAATAAAGAATTCTTTTAAAACAGTGCTACTGGAATAATAGAAATACTTCCTTAGCTTAACTTAAGGTCAATGAACTATGAAATAAACAAATGTCCCCTCTAGACAAGAACATCAATATACCATACTTTAAGATCCGACAGCAAATGCCGAAGATATGACGGAAAATGGAAAAAGGCGACCCCTACGCTCGGCAAAAAGAAAAACGAAATTGCCTTCGAATCGAAATACTTCCTTGGCAAAAACTTCTATAATTTTTGGCGAGGTATAATTTACTGACCTTTGAGTAAATAGCAGGATATTTTTTTTCGCTATGTGACGTGGTGGTGAAGGTATTTCCAAACCTCCCATCTTCTAATAGTTATAAGGAAACATATCACTAACTTAGAGTGAAAAGTTGCTGAGGCAAGAAAAATTAAAAATGACGTGAATTATTTATTTTGCTTCTGGCCGTTTCTATCATGATAAAAACATATAAAACTATAAACTATATATAAACTATATTTTTATCATGGTTTCTATTCCGCCGAACGAAAATTTACTTTACCTAAAGAAAAACGACAATTCAAAAGAATACAAAAAATTTTCACTGGTTCTAGTCTACAAATTCATAAGGATTTAAATAAAGAAAAATATTTTACGATTTTTTGCTTGTATTTTTTAGACCGCATTCTGTGCTAGATATTCTAATTTTCTGTGTTTGTTTCATTATTATTATTTTTTTTTTTGTGGGTAACGAGCTGTAGAATGTTCTTACATTGGCAAGTGGTCTCTTTGTGCCCTATAAAAGATGGCGATTTTTCCTATGCGTGAAATAATTTTAGACATCCAATGAATTTTAAGGTGATTTAGAATTTTTTTAATGTAAATAAGAAATGAAAACAAATACATATGTAAATATTTTAAGGTAACAAAGATTTCAATTTTAAATTTACCACTGAACAAAAAAAAGTTATATGTAAGAATATTTTTAAGATTTTCGGCGAGTTATAGAACAGCTTTTTTCATATCTCATTCATTAGCTTTAGTAACAGCTTGTAGCTTTAACTTTTGGCTTAAGAAAGCTATAGACGTAAACATTTCTATCATGGACATCGAACTCTAGCCCATCTTCGAAAAAATTATAAACTTGTAATAGTATGAGTCGTTTATTTTGAAAGTGGCATTAGTTACTTCATACCACTTGTGCTAATATTACCCTTTACTTATGACCAAATGCATCTACATATATGTAAATCGTTATATGTATCGTCATAAACTAATGAAAAAAAAACCTTTTTCATTTGGCTGATGAAATTTAACGTACATATAACCTGCGCGTTCAGATACAAGTAACCACAAGAGGTGTAAAGTTACTTATGAAACTTTCAAATTAAATGGTTCATATTGTAAATTCGTTTTGCTAAGATATATTCAAAATCTAGCCCGCTGACATTAGTAGACATGTTACTTGTGGTCCTCTAAAGGTTTAAATTATACAAAAATATATCTCGTCGGTTTAGAATCCCTGCAGTGAAAAATTATCAATTGTTAAAAATAACCAACTTATGGTTAGCTTTTTGATGGGATTTCTATAAACACGCACTTTTAATTGGCTATGACAAAAACAACTTAAAGTGTGTTGTAAAGTCATGCAGACCCAATCGGGATTTTTTTATTTACAAGTTTCTATTTAAATATTCTCATACAAAAAGTACTTTGAATACATCTTTTCTCCACTTCACCAATTCTTTTTCGAATTCAGGACAAATAAAATGAAGTTCGAAATTTTATATTATCATAAATGTAAACAAATATGCAAAAATAAAGGTAGATAAAAAATTAACAAAAAAATTGTATTGATATTTTATATCCAAAAGTAGTTAGTTACAATTTACAAGTTGCAAGTTAGTTGACATGCAGTGCAGAAGTATCCAGGTCAGTTAGCTTTTTTCGAACAAAATATACAGTCAATAGTTAGCACTAGTGTTCGCGTACACAGACTAAAGTTAGGTATAAGTACGGTGACCATTCGTACCGATTTTTGCGGGACAGTACCGATTTTGAGAAAATTGTCCCGCTGAATATTTTTTAAAAGCCGGGACGTGTAAGTGTCCCGATGTTTCATGTTTGTACCGATTAAGTCCCGATTTTCAATGTTTTCTTTATTCATTTAGTAAGACTCTCCATGTACTCTGGCCCAAAAACAATTTTTCGTACACTTTCGTTACCACAAAGGACATAAGATATAAGTGAGCCATAAACATAGCCGGCATCCTTATTAATAATATAATTAAATCAATCATAAAAAATAATACTAATACCCTAAAAAAAAAATCGGGGATATGAAAAACATAAGCTGTAGATATAACGGCGAAAATATAAATGCGGAAGAGAAATTTTTTTGTTTTGGCTTTGGCTATTCCCCTTTCGATTATTTAATGTTTATTACTTTTTATTTCAAACATTGTACAAAAATTACCAATATTCCACAAAGTTTGATAAAAATTTTGAACTTTTTAATTATATTTCTTAGAAACGTTCTGAGTATGCAGTTTTGTATCTTTTCAATTTAATGTGTAAATTTTAAGTAGCTAGGACTTACCGTTGGTATTTGGTAAATTTTGAGGAAGATATTGCGTATTTTCTCCATACAAAAAATTTTTGAACATAACGTGTATGGAAGAAAATGCGTGAACAAAAAATTGCCAAAAATCAACGGTAAGTCCAAGTTTATTCCAACTTGCACTTTACTAAAATTTAATGGGCTTCAAAATCTCATACTCAAAACAATTCTAGAAAATCTGATTAAAATGTTTCAAATTGTGATGAACACTTAATCAATTTCGTCGAATTTTTATAAATGTTCTACAAATTTCAAAATTTTGATTTACATGTTTTTTTACATTTAATTAATTTTTTTTCTCTTTGTTTTGTTTTTTTTTTTATATAAAACTGTATTAAGCCTTTTGATTCTAAAAACAAAATTAAATGTTCTGATCCGATGCTTTAGATATGTCCCGCTCACCGTAGGTACAAGCTAACGTCACTC